GAAAACTATCAGCAGCGGGACGAGTGGAAGGGGCGCGAGAAAGGGGGTTCGGAAGGTGAGAAACCAGGTGAGAGAGACGGAACGAAAAGAGAGAGAAAGAAGGGGGGGGGGAGAGGTGCGCAACGGACGTTTACGGGCCCGTAGATGAAACGGGCCTTAATCACCGTGGTGCCCGTTGGATATCGGCTGCTGCCGAGGAGGTAAGGGAGGTAGGCAAGAAGAAGCGAGAGAGAGAGAGAGAGAGAGAGAAAGAGAGAAAAGGAGAAAATGTCTGGGAGTAGGACGAAAAGAGAAAGAGAGGGAGGAACAAAAAAGGGAAGAAAAAGGCAACTTGGTCTCGCACTTAGCATAATGTTCACCGCGCCTGTCATTACCCTCGACACCGCTAACATGCCAACCCGACACCCTCCGAGGTCCTGCTGTTCGGTAGACACGCGAGGACGTGCCAACAGACGTTAGTTACCTTCGCATCGCGGAGGAGCGGCGACGCGGAGGAGGAGGCACGGACAACGCACTCGTCCGGAATATTGATCGAGCGCGATTTAACTTGAATTAACGCGACCGCGTTTTTATTTACTTCTCCCTTTTCCCTCGGTCGTACTCGCGTCCTCGCGTCTTATTTCCGCGCCAGAAGGACGCGCCAGAACGGCGTCGCTGCGTCGGAGGAAAACATGCCGGGGCATTCGCGAAATGTCGCTGCGAGGTCTCTCGCACTGAGAGCAAACGCAGAGTACTGATTAACCGGCCGATGTGGACGTATAATTTTTGCGAAATTAATTGCTTTAGAACACACAAGCGCTGAACTTTAATGGCAGGTTTTGAAATTAACTATCGCTGTCGCTCGTCTTGTTTCCTCCACTGTGACGGGATCCATAATTAAAGTCGAACGACACGATTTAGCGGCCGGTTGCGTACCGGCGAGCACGAGAACTCCTTCTTCAAACTCTTATTACAATCTTTCCTCGAAGGGATTCTCTCTCTCTTTCTCTCTCTCTCTCTCTCGTTTTCTCTCTCAAGTTTTCAATCATAACATTATTTTTCCAAGATGCACGCTTTGTCGTGCAGTTCGTTGCACTCGGAGGAGCAAAATTCATCGTGTTATTCCACTGTACCAATGCGAAGAAAGGAGTAGGCGACGGAGACGATGTTTCTCGAATCCTCTAACGACGAGATTAACCCTAACGGCGCTCGGTACCTCGTAAATCGCTCGTCTCGCGTATTAGGCGCGCAAAGCAGAGGAAGAATCAATCGATTTATGGTCACGCCGGAACATAAATTCGTCCCTGCGGAAACACCTTCGTCACGTAGGCCGACGGTGTCTTTTCGTCGTCGTCGTCGTTAGTGTTTTCGAACGAGCGAATCCCGCGATTTTTCCACGAAGACGAGAGGACGTATAGAACTTGCGTCACGATTTCCGATCGTGACTTCTATCTTCTCTCGATCGAGTCGTTATTCCGAGGTAATTATCCAACTTACTCGACTTCTTCGGGGCGGGATAACGACCCGCGCGCGATTCACCGGACGATTTCTGCGACGAGGCTCGCAGGATAAGCTATCGCGGTCGGCGCGAGGAAGACGCTATTACAAATGCAGGCCATTGTAGATGCCTTTTTATCGCAATGAAACGTGATTTATATGTAGGGGCAGTCTCGCGAAAGGACACCTGATCCACGCGAAAGGGTATCTGGTTACGATGGCACTTATGGAAATGCACCGAATGACAAATATAGCTTGTCGGGGAGCGCGATTTCGCGGTGGCCGCAGATATTTACAACTGCCTGTAAAAATCGCCAAAAGAAATCTGAAACCGCGTAATATACCGGGTATTTTTAGAAAATGATAAATCTCGCCGAGCGCGCGCGCGCGTGCGTGCGATTATAGACAAAGTATCGAGTTGAAGACGGCTGAGGGAAACGTCGAGGAATACGCGTAACTTCCATGGTTTATAATCCTTTCCCGACATTTTAGTGATAACCGTGTTATAAAATTCAGGAAATATCGGATTAACAGAAAAATGCTTCCTCCCCGAATCCCGAAGGTCGGGAAAATCAGCTGCTATCTGCAATCGTCGGCAACCAACGGTAAATCCGCAATTAAAGGTACGACGTTACGTTCGTGCCGTTTTCTCATCAAGGGGAACTCGATTCTAACGTCGAATAATAAATTCTTCCCCGTCAGGAATCCAATTCGCACGCACATACATACTATACCCCCGCTCGCGTGTTACCGCAACTTGGAGAAACCGCGGTCGATCTCGAAACGCTTGAATTGGCGTTTGCGCAACGGACGCTTATGGAAATACGAATGATAAGGGTGTAACCGTCGTTTAAGAGATCATCTCATACGGAAGCCCGAGTCGCGCTGCAGCGGCCAACAATGCGCCATTACTCGCGAATAAATAAAAGCCACAATCTCATGCGTGGCGAGGTAGCCACCTCTCTCGCAAGCGTAACGATAATTTAAGGCGAGGGACGAGAGGGCTCGATGGCTCCTTGGCGCATATAACGGCGATGTGTTGCCGGTGATTTGATGCTTCCTGGCTGAACGATTCAATCTGGCCGGATGAGGTCGCAAATTCACGTCGTTACGCGAGCCTCGCGAGAGCATATCGTTTGGCGCTTAACTGCGGCTTACGTGGCGATGCGTTGCGCCGACTGCGCGTACACCTAAGTAAAGGCGAATTTACGCTTCGGAACTTGATTATCGCGGACGTACGGCCCGAAGGTGTCGTCGAGCGGTGGCGAAACTTCCACCACAGTCTCTCTCGTTCGGTCTCGCGCCTGGGATTTCCATCTCGGTAAAAAAGCACAACGATACGGCGTCACGCAACTGTAATAATACCCGCACGGTGTAATTTCCGTCCTACAACAAAAGCACTTTCTATTATATTATATCCTCGCGCAGGGAGATAGCGTCGATGCAGCCAGAGGACATTATTTATATACCCAAATGAGAATCGCGCGCGCGCGCGCGGCGCGGTAATTAAATGGAATGGAGCTCACTCAGTCGTGACGAGCCGCGTAAATTCGCCTTAAGCGGACAGAACTCGCGGCAAGGAAGATTCCTGCCGACAAAGTGGGCGTGCGGGCGCCCACGACGACGACGAGGAGCCAACAAAAAGGCGTCGGGAAGCGGAAATTCGAGAAGCTCCGCCAGCGGCCTATTCTCTCTCTCTCGTTCTCTCTCGCTCGTTTACTCGCTCGCTCACTCGCTCTTCGTCTTCCTCTTCACTTTCCACCCCTGAGGTATTCTTAATCGTTTATTAAAACAAGAACGAAAGCGCCGAGCGCGAACGGCAGCCGTGGAAGCTCACTTGTAATTTAATCTCTCTTTAAATTACAGACAGTGTGTGTGTGTGTGTGTGTGTGTGTGTGTGTGTGAGGATGCGCGCCGGCGACACACCGCCGCGCAGCGCAACGGTGCGACTCGAATTGCACCGCTCGACGAATGCACGCGTGCAGTCGGATCGCTTTGTTTCGCAGCTCGCAATTTTCGCGCACGTTCTCTCTTTCTCTCATTTCTCATCCGCGTCCTTCCGCCCGGCCCATTCCGCAGCGTCACACCGCGCTACCATTGGCTGATTTCCATTGATTTAGCACCGCACGCGGTTCCTTTAATCTTCACGTAGGATGCGCGAGCGCCGCTCGATCGTGAGTATTCAAATGCGCTGGATATTCGAAGAGGCATGATTCGTGGGCAAATAATTATTGTTTATCGCGGAATCACGTCGAGCCGGAAAGATCGTGCGCGATTAAGGAGACTTTGGGGCGTACGGAGAGTGATAAGCGCGCGCGGCGGCATGCCTCGTTCGAATTAAATTAAGCGGAAAGAAAACTCGTACGCGCGCTAAATCACTGCGGCTCACCGGTTGAATGTAAATTACTATCGACCGATTACCATCGACTCGAGCGCTCTCGTAACGTGCAACGTGACGTTCAGAGCCGAGACGTAAAGTCACGACGCGGTATGCATCGTGTATCTCGTCTCGCGACGTTCGTAACATCCCCTTAACACTTAATATACACAGTCTGTCCCAGATCCAATGAGACTGGTCTAAAAAAATACAAAGCGTTTATTATTTTGATTTTTTATTCTTGTTTATTCAAAATAGTCTCCTTCTGAGTCAATACAGCGCTGGAAACGTTCAACAAATTTTTCGAAACATTTTTTATACTCATCGGCTGGAATGGCCTTTAGTATGGCGGTATCGAAGTCTTTTGGATGACCGGGATGGTATCGAAACGATCTCCTTTCATCGCCAATTTCAGAGAAAGACAATTTATGAGAAAGAGAGAGAGAGACCAGTACGGCGATTCGCAAAGATAAATTCGTAAAAAAAGAAAAAAAGAAACGATAAACTAATAATAAATAAATGTGTTCGGACAAAAAGATTATACGCGCTATTTCGCACGTCGGGCAAAGTATAAAGATCAATTTCTGTCCATTTCTCATTCATTTCGTCCGGTAAATTTCCGCGGAATGGTCCAGTCAACAACACGCGTATAGATCAAGCGAGCGTGATGAAATTCAACGTGGTGAAAATGGTATGACCACCACTGCTGTAACAAGTAACTGCAATGTCGGCCCGCTCGTCGAAATAAAGAGAGACGGCGGCGCGATACGAGTATAAACCGCGAATAATGTCGGCGTAGATTTATGCGTTCGAATTTTTCATCCTCTAACGCGGCGCGTGCAGCGCGTACACGCGCGCCCGGGAGAAATTCGCGTGCGCTATCACGCTCGCTGACGCGTTGATTGATAAAGGGCATAAAGCGTCTGCGTTCCTTTTTCAATGCCTTATCGGGCAAGTTATGTAACGAGACTTCTCTCCGTCACGAGATGCGCGAAAGTGTAATAATTCACACGCGAGCACCACCACGCCGCGCCGACGAGGCAGTTTCCGCATTTGCGCGTATTTCAAATATTTTATTATTATCGTCTGTACTATATCGTCGATAATGTTGCGGGTTTCTCATTAAAAGCACCGTTCGTTTTTGCAGAGGGAGGATGATTTGCATAAAGCGGTGAAGCTGACGACGAGGGAGCGAAGGTTCATAAAGTTCGCATCAGTGAGATATGATGGCCAGCTCTACATGACCCCGCAGGACTTTCTCGACAGCGTCATTGATTCCGAACCTCGACGTGCGTAATGTACTGCTCCTCACGAGGAATTTTCTCTGAGCAATCTAAAGCGACTAAAAATCAGAATCACTGCATTTCGATCGACACGTCATGACACACGGGGTCTAAATATTTTCAATGATATTTCCAGCGAGACTGAAGAGGCGCGTGCTGTCCGACCTGGAGCTCGAAGTCATGCGAAACTCTAATCCTTCGCTGCGCCATGGAAGCACGCACATGTTCCGAAATTTACGAGATAGAGGCAAGCAAACGCTTTTGCAGAACTACTTTTACAGAAAGAATGAAGCAAATTTTTTTCCATCTCATTTCCCATGTATCAAAGATTTCTCTCTTCGTTTCTCTCTCTCTCTCTCTCTCTCTCTCTCTCTCTCTACCTCTTTATGTCCTTATCGCAAAATATTTATTATTGTATAATAATATTTATATTAATATTATCGCGAAATGAGACTTGGAGCCAAACGTCTGACGAAAATTCGTGGCTTCGACGCGTCGTTCTCGACACTCGGAAAGAAATATGAGCGAGAGGCGGGCAATATTTCATGTCGTCGCCGCGTTTAGAAGAACATCGCTTTGTACTCGCGCTCAACCTCAACAAAGCGACGTTACTCGCGGGTGAGACAAGACCGCCGTGAGACGCCGATCACGACCAAATTCACGACTGCGGGCTTCGGTAAATGTACACGCCGAGACGGAATTAGTGGCCGCCGCTCGGAGCTTTCTACCGAAATATGCGATTCGACAAGAGAAACGGCGAGACGCGCGATAATACGCGCGCCGACGACGATAACGCGGCGGCTATCGATCCGCGATCGAGCGCAACCTGTACTTACGGCGCATACTTATTCGACACGAATTCCCGCCACCCACGCGCAACATTCGCCGTCGCGACAGGATCGTGTCATTAGTTTAATGGTGCTTGCACTTCGGCGCGTTTCTTCCTGGCTTTTTACGCGTGCACCGCACGTTTGTCGCGCTAATGGAAATGCAAATAATCAACGGACGGGCGGAGGGCCGATGAGAGGGGAATGAGAGAGGGACCGAGCAATTTCACACCTCTCTTTAATAATAACGAGTTTCTTCTCCCAGTCGCGGGATCTTTCTCCTTTTTCGTCTCTCTCTCTCTCTCTCTCTCTCTCTCTCTCTCTCTCTCTCTCTCTCTCTCCCCCCCTCTCTCTCTCTCTCCCCCTCTCTCTCTCTCTCCCTCTCCCTCTCTCTCTCTCTCTCTGTTTCTTCCGCCTCGTGTGCGTGCGCGCCAGAGTTCCACGAGCGGATAAACGAGTCCGAGGACCGCTTTTAAGGACACTTTCGGTGCACGGTAGGCCGTTACAATTAAGGACGCCTCGGGAAGATTGCGCGAGAGCTATCAGCAGCGAGCTACCACGCGGGAACGGCTTCGGTCTCGTCGTCGCGTTAGCGATACATCGGAGCAGCCGTTAGTCATTCGGTTGGTCGCAACCGTAATGTCTAGGCTTTAGCGGCACTTCCTTATTGTGCCGACAACACGAGCTACTTTCCGCGACGTTACGATAGTTATTTGCCTCTCCCCTCCCTCCTCCCTGGCGAAACCGCTCCGGGACAAACGTTGTCGGGGGGATATCGCGCTTTGCCTTTACACGCTGCGAATGCTGCAAATCACAGCTTACTAAATGTTTCGGGTTAAGCGGATCATACCGGAAATGTTATTTCTGTCTATGGACAACGGCTGTTGGAGCTAACGCTACCGCGTTAGCGTAAACGAGGTACATTAAAATAAATTGAATTGGAAACTTTTTAAACACCGTTGAAATCCTGAAAATCGGCATTTGCGGTATTGTACGATGCGAAGGAGTTTAAGCACGATTCTACGTCGAATTATATAACTTGAGCATTTGTAATACAATAACATTTTACACGCTTCGTTACTGGCTTAACCGGGTTAGTAATGGATTCTCGGGGAACAAAGTTAAACGGCGACGGGATTGATAGAAATATATACCATACATAAAATATTATATATATTTCACGACTGGATTGACTTTGTCGGCTACTTTTTTCTTTGCTTTCTTTTAGCTTCCTCGGCTTTCCTCGCTCTCGGAAATGTGAGGGAATATTATAGAATAGCTACGATTCGTAAAGTAGTCCTTTTGTTACGTACGAGCTGAAAATGCCGCCGCAAGAGGGTACATTTAAGATCAGAATTTAGGTGCGTCCGCGGGTCTTCGCTTTTGCCATTAAATTCCAAGTTATTGATCCTTCCCGTAGGCGATAGCATTCTCAAAAAATACCTGGAGCCACGTGAGGCGTGTCTAACGCGTGTCCGACGCTACTCCGAGACACATCGTAAACACCCGTTTAGTGCGTACTCGTATAGATCGCGTTATGCTCAAGTGCGGATTAACGGGAAAATTAAGAGTGAATTCGACGAAATCACGAGACTTTACGAGACATAAAGACAGGCATAATTGCGTGATGTATATAACGATCTGTCTAAATTTTTATAGTACCTTGTCCTATTAGACAGAGCGTAGAAAGCATTTTGTCGACCGGTCAAACGTGAAACTTGAATATAATCGCGGTCTGGATACAAAATGTACGCTACTTGACTAGAAGAGATTTGCATTATACCGTATTTTGCAATCGCGCACTTGACTCTCATGTAAAGTACAGAATTATTGTGGACATGATAGTGCAAACTTAAAATTAAATTAGCATAATTTCAATGAATATTAAAATAAAGTTAATCAATTTCCACCCGTCGCACCCGATTTTTTTATTTAGCAAGTATTACTGCATGATTAATTTCTTTTCTGATAAAATATTATTTTTCTGGAATCTATTAAATCATATTTTTTCTCCTTTCAGGAATAATTTCCTACACGGAGTACTTGTTTCTACTATCTATCCTGACAAGTAAGTTTCTCACTCTCTCGCCGGTGTCTTTGGATATATTTACCGGAAAAATTATGACATAAACGTAAAAAACGCCTAAATGAAGTGACGCCACGGTCACTCTCTTCGGTACAAACTATATGTTGTCGGAGAAAAATCAAGCAATAAGATGTTACGTTCGTCTTGTTCACGTGAAAGCAATGGCCGTTATCCGCTTGCTCGGGAAGCGTATTACGCGCAAAGCGTTCAATTTATTTGATGTGTCCGGCGCAAATTATTATGTGACAATTTTAATGGCACGCGGAACGTACGTATTAAATGCGTCGTACTTTTACACTAATGCGTCCGCGTACAGCATTATTCAGAATTTACGTCAAGTCTACAGGGCGTTCTCAGAATTTACGTCGAGTCTATAGAATGCTTTGCCACGTATTTTCTTTTATCCAGAAAAAATTTAATAAGATATTTATGTCTGATATATGTTTTCTTATGATCCCACAATAATTAATTTTGCATATCTTTATGAGAGATTAAAATGTCCTCACGTAAAGATTCTATTAAAATGAAGTGTATTTGCAATTGAAGGAAGAAGACAGTTCTGTTAATTATACCTATCGCAAAGTCTCAATCATGCGTAGAGATTTTTAACCTATTCCGTATCGATATCTTTTGTGCTTGTTTTAAGAAATTTTCCCTTCATATTTTAATCTACTAGAATCCGTACAAAAAGGTCAATGCGGCGTATTTGGAACACCCTTTATACGCGTGCTCGTACGTTTCGTGTACAAAAACAAAGTTGAGGTTTGAACCATCATTTGTCTCCATCAGTTTTAAGAATCATCCGTGGCGAAAAATGCTCCGAAAAATGCGTTAATGTCGAGCATCTAAATGCAATGCCGCTGGAAATTCACGAGAATAATCAATTCCGTTGCAGAGCCAAAAACTGGTTTCCAAATCGCCTTCAATATGTTCGACACCGACGGGAACGAGCGAGTCGACAAAACTGAGTTTCTCGTGGTAAGATCATCGCGAAATGCATGCGCGTGTTTTCGCGATTGCAGTGATTGCAGATGCATGTAGAATCACAGCCATTAATAAAAATCGGTTAGTTATCTTATTATTTCGCGTATTTGCTTTTTCTTTGCATTAGGCGACAGGACGGTGTATTATTAAAGAGAATTATTAAACGAACAATTAATGCTCTGATTGATCCTTCTCGATAACACAAGATGCAAGATGGGATGTCGCCGTAACGGAACGTTCCCCCAAATGAGTTCTAGTTTCTAACACGAACCAGTCGGAGCATTCGTGGACCTACTAGCGAGGATGAATTCTGACCAGATCTTTACACACTCTCTGAAAACTCTTTACACTAACTAGCGATTAGCATGAAATAGTCTTTATCGTTCTCGCAGATTCGTCGTTTACTCGGCGGCAGCCTGAAGCAACGGGATCTCGACGAGCTGACGAGACGTGCAGTGAGTTTTCAGAAAATCTATCATCTATCAGGGTGATGTTAGAAATTAATTGGCCGATCGAATGTTCAAAACATCAATCTTGTCGGTCACTACGCCGTATTCGGCTAAACGAGATCGACTAATGACTCTGTAATCTGTTATTGTGTTCAGCCACAATGTGCGTGAGCTGCGTTTTTTGAATTATTTCCAATAGCGAAGATATTTCTTGTTATAATTGCGTTTCTAACATTTTCATCTGTCTGATTTTATAACTGTGGATATGTGACGTAAACGTTTATCTTCCTCAAGCTAATTCTTCTCTATTTCTTTATTTTTTTCTCGAAAAATCAGTTACGTTCCATAATTGCTCCGAGCGAAGACATTCTAGACAAACCAAAGCTTCGTGAAGCTCGTCCAGTTAAGACAAATGAAATCATCTCGAATTCTTACGTAAGTCTATATATATATACATATACGTACATGGATCGTAAATCGACATATCTATTGTGTCTAATGTGTAACAGGTCTCATTCATGAAAGCAGTATTATAAAACCGAAAGCTGATGAGCGATACTACAGAACTAACAGCAGGAACACTTTGCAGCATCGTAACCGCTTGTTAATCTATTTGACAAACAATTGCGTTAACTTTATAAATCACGCTGCCAGCAATATATCTTCTCTGTGTGGATGTGCACTCGTATATCAATGAGAATTAAGTGTCAACTGCCTTTCATCACAGTCTATCTTAAGTTTGCCTACATCGACGCTCGCACGCAATAATACGCAATTAATATGCAGCTTGCCGGTTCCGTCGAAAATTATCCTACCCCCATTATATTAATATACTGATAATCGCTGCACTAACACTATTCGCCACTTATTTCAGATGCATTAACGCTGGGCGCTGAATCATTGCCGTCATTTTCCCTTTATGTAACGTGTAACTTCGACACGTGTGTCAGTTCGTAAAAGATTTATTGAAGCAACATCGTCGATCGGTCGCGATAACAGTCGTTCTCTCACGTCTTCATCTTTGATACAGATGGAGAAAGTGTTTAGTCACGCGTGGAGGGGCCGCCATGGGTATGAGACCAAAGAGGAATTGGAACAACTGCAGGAACGTCAGAAAACACCGGAAGAGATTCAAGGCCAATTCATCGACGATGATCAGGTGCGAAGTCTATTACTTTAATATTATTTTCTTGTCTGAAGAAACGACCGATAACAATAAATTGTAGGATAAGCATGAAACACTGACACAATTTTCACTGACAAACTGTTGAGACTTGACAAACAGAACCAATATTAGATGTTTCTTTGTTGATGAAGATTTTACCCAATATGAAAATGATGACTACATAATAAAATTAAGAAAGGAAATGAGAAAGTAAGGTAAGGTTTCCAACACATATAATCTTCTACTACTTATTTGTACTGACATGTCTTAAAAATATACATACATCCGTATACTATTTTTCAACATCGATTCAACAGCGATCTATACTTCTAAATAAGATCTATAAACAATTCTGTTGTATAAAAGCTTCATTGTTGATGTACAAAACTGCGTTATTGATAAATATATATTTCCGACCAATATAAGCAGCCGCACGAATTTAGATGCTGGTCGAAATCTTGGAGTTGATGAAAGAATGAAGATCCACCGAGTATAAGTTAGTGAAATATGTGCAATGAGTTATTAATAGGTAGAATCCAAATAAATAATATATACGTAAACTACATTCATTAGACACCACATGTTATGCAGATAGAAGCAATGAAACGTGCGATGATATACGACAAGTCCAGAACTGACAGGTTCAGAGTTACCGAATATAAACAAATAAAATATGAGTGACGAGGTTTTAATCGAGACCGAAAATAACCAAGAACCTCGTAAACCGCGTCGACGTGCGGCTCCTCATTGCGGAGAAATTGAAGATAGACTGAGAACGATCCATGCGAAAATGCTGGCTCACCGGGTATAAGATAATTAATTATTCGCATTAAGACATTAATCTAGATTCGAAATAAGGATGTTTCATGAAAATCGTATCTGCTGCGATTACGCATTTTGGAATTAGAGGCCATGAAAGATTAAAAAGTGACAAGTGCGAAAATAATGGATCATAAAATATTAATTAACGAAATATGTTTGATAAGGTTTTAATATAGACCTAAAATAATCAAGATCCTCCGCGACGACGTACAACTATTCGTTATAAAAAAATTGAAACCGATATGTCGAGATCGATCGATGCGAAAATGATGGATCATAAAATAATTAATTATTTGCAAAAAGACATTAATCTAAGTTCGAAATAAATATGATCCGTGAAAACCCTCATCGCGATTACACGTTTTAAAGATAGAGGCCACAACAGATCGAAAAGTGACAAGTGCAAAAATTACGGGTTATGAAATATTAATTAACGAAGTTGACGAGTAATAAAGTTTTAATCTAAACTCAAAATATTTAAGCACTGTACAAACCGCGTCGACATAATGTTACAGAGATAGAAGCTACGGAATGTTGAGATCGATCGGTGCAGAAATGGTGTCGGTGAAGTAAGCACGTTTTAAAAATTATTAAAAAACAATGTTAGTTCCAGTAGCATTTTTCTCAGTTCTATAGTTCCTGATAAAAATAAAAAAATGTTCCGTATCTCTTAATATGAAAAAATCAAAATTGAGAAAATGTACTAACTTCATGTTCCAGCACGACACAGTCTCCTCTAAAACACAAAAAGCCGCTTTTTGATGAGAGTTCCCATTAGTTCTAGGCTAGTTCTATAACTATGAAGCAGTTCAGAACAAAACCCCGACAATTAACAATTCTGTACAATTTTCAATATTGGCGGCCAGCACGACACTCGGCGAAAACATGTCGCGCCGTCGACTTCTTGTACTTCTAACGGTAGTTTTAGCTTGTTCTACTCGAGTTCTATATAATTCAAACATTTTCCAATCATTGTTCCGCCGTATAACTATTTTTAAATTAATTTTAACTTTTGGCGCCAGCACGACACTCGGTGAAAACATGTTGCCAATGATTAAAATTAATACTAAAAAAATAGTTATACGGCGGAACAATAACTGAAAATGGTTGAATTGTATGAAACTCGAGTATAACAAGCTAGAACTACCGTCAGAAGTGCAGTCGACAGCGCGACATATTTTCGCCGAGTGTCGTGCTGGCGTCAAAAGTTAAAATTAATTTAAAAATACGACGAGTTATACGACGGAACAATGAGTGAAAATGATTGAATTATATAGAACTCGAGTAGAACAAGCTAGAACTACCGTCAGAAATATAAGAAGTCGACAGCGCGACATATTTTCGCCGAGTGTGTCGTACTGACCGCCAATATTGAAAATAGAATTGTTAATTATTGGAGTTTTGTTCTGAACTGCCTCATAGTTATAGAACTAGCTTAGAACTCTAATCAAAAAGCATATTATTCACCGGCTTCTTGTACTTTAGAGACTGCACTTTAGAGGAGATTGTATCGTGTTAAAACGTGAAGTTGGCACATTTTTTCAATTTCGATTTTTTGATATTAAGAATATGGAACTTTTTTTTATCTTTATCAGGAACTACAGAACTATAAAAGATGCTACTGGAACTAACGGTGTTTCTTAAAACGTCGTGCCAACTTCGCAGACACGCAGAAATGTCATGTATCATGCGGGTATAATTTGTCGAGATATCTCTAAAATAAGTACATAATTTTAATAAAAATGCAACATGATGATTTTACTTGTAATCCGGCATCCTTTAATCGAGTTACGATATTCGGAAAGCAAATGTAAACGACGGCGTGGTCCGAGGAGCAAACGTGTTGTGCCTTCTAGCTTCCGCTATAAGTTAAAAGGGAACAGGAGACCCTGACCTAGATCAAACGAGCGATAAGGGGCATCCGCGTGCGGTTCGGTCATATGGTCACATCGTCGCTTCTAGGAACCGTAGAAACTTCAGAGAGGACTCTTCGGAAAGCTGATATTTTTGTGAATCTGAACAATACACAGTCGTTTTTTGCCGTTAAGTATTGATCAATAAAATAGCATGCAAAATTGGCATTACTAATAAGTTGCAATGAACTTGGCGTCTCGATTCAAATTTGTTTTTTCCGCTTTTATGGGCGGAACTATTTGTTTAACTGCTTACGAGAACTCTAGAGCCTTTAAAAAAAGAGGACGTCTCTCAATGGTTTATGAGTTTCTACAAGGTGAGACCTCAGCTTCACACGCACAAGAAATCCGTGAATCAAAATTTTATCGATAAAAGATGAAAACCCATTCACGTAGTTACTTTTGTACTTCATGCTTGACATCATGTGATTGGAATCGTGTGCTTTCCAAGAATGAAAAATACCTTCGTAGAGTACGCGATTCCAATCAGTTAATGATGTCAAACATGAACTGCAAAAGTGACTGCGTGAACAGGTTCTCACCTTTTACTGATAAGGTTTTGATCAATGAATTTCTCATCTAGATCAATGACCTCAACACTGATAATATTTTTCATATATTTAAAGATATCAGTACATACAAGTAGTGAAAAAATTATATGAGTTTAAGTTTAAGAGCAATCTTATTTTCTGACTTTCTTTCATACGTTATTTAATATTTTATCTTATATATGATGCAGGGCTTACAACGACGTCATGCTGTGGACACAACCTTAATGATACATTTCTTCGGCAGAGATGGTACTAACGAGTTGAGATACGAAGATTTCAAACGCTTCATGGAGAACTTACAACACGAAATATTGGAGTTGGAATTTCACGAATTCAGCAAGGGGCATGACACGATCAACGAATTGGACTTTGCTAAAATTTTGTTGAGATACACGTACCTCGAGCCTGACGAGTAAGTTGAGTAGTTGAAAATTTGTATTGTAAATTTTGTGAATATATCCGTTATTAAACATCTAATCATTGTGTATACAGATACGATAAATACTTAGACAGAATGATGGACCGAGCGGAATTGAATATTGGCATCACATTCGAGGAGTTTCGTCGCTTCTATCAATTTCTGAACAATCTGGATGATTTTTCTATAGCAATGCGAATGTATACGTTGGCCGACCACCCTATATCTAAAGGTGAAAATTAATTTAAGATCTTTAATCAGAACTTCTAATTTGTAAATATTCCACATAAGTGTCACAGACACAACAGTGTAATTTTAATTTCTTGACAGCGTACGCGATGTATTTTCATTTTTAAGCGGACGTTTTTCTAATACATTCTCTCGTATATTGAAGGTAATTAATTAACTTTTTTCTACTTCCAGACGAGTTTCAACGAGCTGTGAAAATATGTACGGGAACGGTGCTCTCGACGCACATAATCGATACGGTCTTCGCATTGTTCGATGAAGATGGAGACGGCCAACTTTCTTACAAGGAATTCATCGCAATCATGAAGGATCGATTGCACAGAGGGTTCAAAGTAAGACATATGCATTCATATAGATATCTTTCAGAAAAGGACCTACGTACAAAGAGAAATTTAACGACGCCTACGAGCTACTCACTATACGACTGAATGTGAACCTGTATGAATAGTTGCCATCTTTCAGGTTTGCAGCACTAGACGCCACAGTGCTCTCGAGCAATTTACAAGAAATGTTTACGCTGAAAATGTTATAACTATTGACCGACACAACATTTTATTTCTTTTCCAGTCTCAACAACGCAATGAAGGATGGGAAGCATTCAAGTTCTGCGTAAAACAAGAAATGAAAGCACCTTGAAGAAACAATCACCATATAAAGAAACGGGAGAACAAAGAAGATACTTACTAAATCCTACAGCTCCTATAATTGTGATAATATCGAAAATCGTTTGATCGTATTTTAATTTATCGTTTTCCTACTCGTATTTATTTATATGATTCCAATATGTACAAGTACTTTTTACCTAGTATATATAATCAAATCTATAAAAACAGAATACTAATGCAGTGCCGTTCAAATAATCACAATGTGTACATAAGAAAATAATTCTTGACTTAGAAGTGGACTTTATTCGTTTTGCACAAGAAATTCGATCATACAGAATAATCACACATTTTCTCAATAGATTAAAAAAAGATAAGATCAAAAAAAGATTATCTGCTTTTCTTTGAGAGATTTTTCTGAGATTTGTTAATATAGAAGAAATATTATCACTTGAGAAAACTTGAAAATGAAATAAAATAATAAGTTTCTATATAACAAGTTTACATATTGTTTTCCTCTCAGATATTAAAGTAGTAATTATTTATCAGTTGGCTCTTAATATTCGTAATTTAAGATAAAGACTTCTAGAATATTTTGTCTACATATTGTTGCTAAAATTAAATCACTTTAAAATAATATAACCTGAATATCTAAAATTATGATACGAAAGTAAACTTAATAAACAAGAACTTGTTGCGAGAAATTAACGCAGACGGTCTTGAGACTCTCAGTGAAACATTGTACGAAAGTCACTGAGGACAATTCTGTTATTTATTTTTTGATAAACGTCTTTTCCACCAAATTCACAGAACCCATGAGCTACGACGAGATCGTATGAGCAAACTCGAGGTACTTGTATATAGATGTAATTATATCGTAGAGATAAAACTGGTTGACATCGTGTGTCGTGTTCTTACTCTCAAGTCACGAAATACGGTCCGTCCCACGCGCGACGACCTAAACCTACGTTTGTACTGCCGACTGCACGTCGTAATTGTGCGTTATCAGTCATCGCACCGATTGTGCCGGTACCGGTGCTCTCATGAAGGAGAGCCGACGAAAAAAAGGCGTACCACGACGGCGCAGTCCTTAGACGCGATATCAGAATACCTCGTTACGCGGCAAGATTCCACACAAAGACCGCTAGTTTCAGAAACGACGACTTATGCAATTGCTGTCTAGGAATTTAGTTTTTCAAGCGATCGCAAATTACCGCAGGAGCGGTGTAATTATGCGAAAATTACTGTCGCATACGTGTCGCAACCGTGAATAACAGATAAAAATTGATGAAATTTTAATAGACAAACAGTTGATTAATTAATTTAATGTAAGATATTTGAATATTTTCTAAATACCTGAGACTTTTCGCAAGAATGGAGTACTATTTTTTTCTTTTTATAAATTGTAACGCGAAGTTAAGAGAATTCTTAGAAAATTCTCACGTACCTTCGAACATTGAATTTGTTTCTCTTGAAGAAGAAACTCTTAACGGCAGAAACTCTTCGACAAATTTTTGCTTTTGATTTGACGACGGCATTTGATTTAATACTTTCTGCACTAATTGTCAACAGGTACACGACCAATGTTGGACAAATTTTACCTCAGTAATCTTTCCTTTCTTTAATTGCCACGCGGACACCGGTTGCCGTTTCGCGCACGTGGTGGGATCGGTCAGCTGATCGGAGGGGAAAGAAGAAACGGAGCAGGAACTATCGGTGAATGAGCGGTGTCTAGATCGACGCCTGCCATCGAAACTGTCAGAACCGAGGAATCGTCCGCGCGCGTCGGAGTCAACCACCAACGTTTCGCAACGCAGTCGTGAAGAGACAGCGGATCGCGCCGCGTTCACGCAGTGTTCGTCGACATCGTCAACTCGTCGAAAGTTCGCGCCGTAATGCCAACGATCATATCCAGCATGGGATTCAGGAAGATAATCAAGCGTATCTCGTAAGTTTTTGTGTATTATTTTACTCGGAGAAATTGCAAATCGAAGACGTCAAAAAAAAAAAATTGCTGAAAAATACTCTGTACTAACTACTAGCCGTCACTTGTGCTTTCCTCGACGAATTTGCAACTTCGCCTGCTCTATATAATAACCTAACTCTATAATATCACTTATTTTCTTATCTCATTTTCATTATCATGATATTCTAATATGCCTTCATGTATTATTCTAATTTTTCTGATGAATTTGCTGAATGTATTTCAATTTATTTCTGAAAAATTCCAAGCTATCCCCTCAGTTGAAACTGTAATTTATAAGTTATTTTTGGCTTCTTTCGTTTCCAGCTTTTAATCAACAAATTAGTAATAATTTACGAAAACTGCGCGTCTTTCTTGCTATAAAAGCAGTGTTTGTGCGGAATTGATTAATGAATGTGTTACGTTTTGTGTTAATCTTAACTCATCCAAACCGGATACCAGTGCGGCTCTCCTCTAAGATGCATACAAGCGATAACATATCGCAGCACGCGAGTAAAATTTATTATGCTAATTTGCAATATCACGGACGCGCCATACTTTTGACTTAACATTTTAACCGTAAAAACTTCTCGTGACATTTGAAGTATCGTCGATATAAAGACGAGACCTTGTAACATTTTTAACAGTTTAACAGTTTAATGTGTTCGATGTAACGAGTGCTCAGATCGAAAAAGACAGTTAGAAGCTTAAGAAACCGGACGAATTTGTTTCGAGACTTACAGCATGTCATAACACGGTAACTCTCGTCGTAAGGTGAAGGTCGCCAACGTTCGTATATCAAACAGACGCTGATAATAATACTGATAGCGTCAGAAATTGTAAGTTAACGAAATATAACGAATCGACGAGATAACGGCTCGTCGAGATATTTCTTTCTCCTCTGACGGAGAACTTTTAGCATTCGGAAAATTGCTCAGCTAATGAAAAATTGTCCAAAGTGCCGTTTATTCCGAGTGCCGAAGCGAGTTTCGCGAGTATCTCCTCGAGGAATGCGGCGAAATGAATCGTAACCGATCGTTATCTCGACCGGCTCTCGGTATTCACGAGCGATATCAAACGGGGAAAATGCATTCCGACAGACATCTCAATCATGGCAAAATTACATAAGGATAATTAAGCGGTACCGGTGGCTCGCTTTACACGCGCTTAAACCCGCGCGGATATGCACCTGCTGCGCAAAGAGGGGAAAACGTATCGGGTCCGATCTGAATAATCTAAGCGGAAGAGCACGCACGAGAAAGAGAGAGATAGAAAGGAGAAAGAGAGAGAGAGAGAGAGAGAGAGAGAGAGAGAGAGAGAGGAGGGAGAGGGAGGGAAAAAGAGATACCTCGCGATTCGCTTCCGAGTTTCTCCGCGATCTCGAGCACTTTCCATTCCGAGAAAATGTACCGAAAAGTTCAAGCGTATCGAAGACACGGGCTAATTACGGCCGAAAGAATGGCGGTGCGGGCCCCCCGCGGTTTGGGCATCGCGGCCGTACCGTTAACTAGACACCGACAACTCGCTGTGTATCCGCGGTATAATGACTGCCATTATCCTCTCGTCGGGACGACGCGAGATTATGCTGTTACCGTGCTTAGTCGCCGCTATGAAATTGCACGGGTATTTAAAGCGCTGCGACCTGTGCCGGCGACGAATGAGCGACCATTGTCCCGCGAGCGAAGGCAACGAGTAGAGTCAAAGTTCTTTGTGCGGTATTCTCCTCGCGATTCTCCTCGGGATTGCGGAATTTTGTTTCTTCTCATGCCGCGCGCCACGACGTGGCGAACCGTTCTTAATTCTACCGGTAGATTCTCAGACAAACTCGAAATCGTGAAGTTTTCTCGCGCAGGAGAAAAACATAATTATATAATTTTCTAATTTTTGATCAGCCCAAAAGTATCAGCGACAGTTTCGCGAAGGTAACGTCGATTCAAGTGTAAGCGTCAAGCGGCGCGAGTCGCAGATTTTATTATCCTGTTAATTTGCTTATTTTCCGCCTGCAAGATCAATTTCCGTCTCACTAATGGTACATCCGATCTGAATATATGCGACACGTTTCATTCAATTATAAGCATTCCAACCTTGATTTTAATCTCTGCTCGATAATCATTGCCGCTGATGACAGCTGCTCCACACGTACACACAAAGATAGGTCAGGTCAGTACTCGCTTAGCCAGTAGCATATAACCGAGATGTTTATTATGCATACTAATGTGCATCGCGATGCTTTCTTGTTTGCAGTCCCGTGTACGGGAACAGATGCCCAAGGAAAAGCTGCGTGATCGGTTACTCGGCATGCAAATGAGTCGAAAAATCGAGCGCGCTGCGTTTCGCCGCGCGCGCGCGCGCGCGTGTGTGTGTGTGTGTGGGGGGGTGGGTATGACTGACACTTCCTTCTCTAATTAACTCTTAATCCTCTTCATTCTCATTAAGGGTACTCGCGAGCCCGAATCAAGTCCAAACACCGGTTCGCACTTCGTATGTTTCCTCTCGTCGACTCTAACGCGTTTGCCATGTTCTGTTCTGCCGACGATTCTGTCTCTTCAGAACAGAACAGAATCGTCGGATCGAAAGTACATTATGCTAATAATGCGTGCAAAGTAGCCAGCTTACCAGAGTCACCTATGAACTTTAGAGTGTTTTTCTCGTGAAGCAATCGACGCGTTTCGGAGACGCGTTAACGCGGCTGTTTTAATACGCGCGATCTGGCCTTCCTCTCGCGCGAAGAGGAGATCATCGGCAGAATTTTCCCGCATTCCCGAGCGAAAGCCGATTTGCGATGCAGAACTAGTCGGCTTCAGCCGCACGCGGCAGAAATGTATGCGAATAATAGAGAGCGGCTATGGACAGACAGCGAACGTAAAAGTGTTGCAAAAGTCGTGCGCTACCCGGCGTATCTAAACATCAACAGCATTAATATGTATTCGAGATTTCGTCACGTATTTCTAGTCCCTCGTCTGAGAGAGAATAAGAGTGTAGTGTTGTTGGTCTGAAGCACGAGTATTCTTTAGTATCCTTCATCCTGACGTTACGACAAAACATAAACATAGACATTGTGTTTGCGACAGGATAAGGAAAATCTCTGTCTCATTTCTCATCGAGCTTTCAAGGTTGGCCAAGGATAAGACCAGGTCTTAAGATTGATGATAAACGTAATGCTTACGATTGCAAAGCGTCACAACGCGTTATTCGCGAATAACACATGCAACTTGAAAAAATTTATGTTCTATAATAATAAAAGAAATATATAATAATAATAATAATAAAAATATCGACATCTCATAATGGTAGAAGAAAGAATTATCCTGTGCATTTGTCTTGCTCATGTGCCGTGACGTGTCTACGTGTCAGAAAATGTACATCGTGGTAATAATCAGGATTCACAATTCTAGAAAAGCAATGCCAACGAAGTGAACGCGGAAAAAGGGGAAAGGGAAGAAAACAGCGCGTTAACGAGATCTGAAATAATCTCGTCGCGAAGTAATAGTCGCGGTGTTCCGTGATCCGTGGCGAACGAATTGTCAGAGAAAGTATAAGTTCGCGAATACGATCAATTTCGCGGTCTCGCAACGATCGCCGCCTAGTTATTGTGTCCGGGAGATGTTCTCAGTTCTTTGTTCTACCTTTTATCTCACGCGAATCGTACCCACTGACATCAAAGACTTTTCTCAGTCGTTGTGCTCTTTAAGATCTATGGTTAATTACGTTTTGTACAGTTCAGAGTTAATTTCGAAAAGGATTTCTATTGTGTAATTCATTGACGGATTTTGTATATTTTGTGTATAAAAAGGCATTTCCCGATTAACACCGATTATGACATGTTAGGGCGACAACAGCAATCAATACGTTTATCGAATAAGATTGTCTCTTGTAAACAAATAAAAAATTGAAAAAAAATTGATTACAATTGACCGAAGTATTAATACACGAAAGAAGTAAAGATTTTGTTCTTTTTTTTTACAGAAATACTACTGTACAGACGGAAAGTCAAATTTGGACATCGCCGATACCGAAATGTACTGTTGAGTAAGTAAATATTCATATCTCATCGCTTATCGCAATATATATGTCGCATTATCGCAGTTTTCGCTCACATGAAAGTTTTTAATTTGACTCATCACGCTATACTTTACGCATGCTACGGTAATTAGCTTTAACCTAAACGTAGTCCAATTATAACGACTGTAACTGTAATAACGAAATATGTTTCATTGTTTGACAGTTAAAAGAACAGTGGCTTCCTAGAAGTAATTCCTAGGAGTAAGTCCGCGTTCTAGTTCATAAAAGTTTATAAAAGTTATATCAAGATAAACTGCGACAATTTTTACAATATAAAGCGATATTCTTCTAATGATCCCTGCTAACACTAACTTTGTGTAAAGTTCTCTCAGGGACTCTCACTTCTCAAATTTTCCTCCGTATTGCATTGCTGGTCAGAACAGTTAGGAGATTTCTTTCTTTCTTTTAATGCCTATATCAGAAAGATGTCTGAGATATGAAATACTTCTCTCAGTATCCATTTTCATATTTAATAAATTAATATTTCAGCTGCTTATTCTGCATTTTACTTAAGCTGTAACATTATTCAATAAAACTATTCGCTCATGATGGAATCTCCTAATTAATCTGAGTAATGTATTAATAAAACAATTGGTTCATTTACAAGGTGAACATGTTAACCTGGTTTCCCATGTCACATTTATTGAGAAAATGCATATTACCTTGTAACATGTGCAGACGTTCCTTTCCCGGCAGATATATCCAGATATTCCTCTGGTTCCTTCCTTGCTGCTACTTCCATTCTTTCCTCAGGGAGATTATTCCTTTTGCTCTAAAACATCATTTATTCACACTTATTCACTGCTTTTTCACTTGTTATACGTATATACACTTTCCGCTGTATTGCGCTGCATTTTAAATTTACTGTTTAATCGGTATATCGATTGCGATTATAGCTATATATTTACAACACTCGTGAACATGTATTACACGGACAATTCGACGCGGATTTTTCGGCGATCGGATTTAACTTTGCTGATCCGTTCGAATCCATGCAACTAATTTCGTTTTCCCGACACGTTAAACATTTTCTAGATGCTTCGAACATGAAACGGTACATACGCGATCATCTCGGAGTAATTTCTCGAAGAGAAAGTTATAATTTGCCGTTTTATTTGCATTATTTGACCTGTTCTCGTATTTTAAAGAGCGATTATTGAGATATTTCAAGTACCTTAACCGACATATTACGAAGTTTTGGAATACCAAAGTGCTAAGTATCCGAAATCGAAAATGGCCGAATCGCGGCATGTAAATATCGCGTCATTGTAGCGAACTTTATTCACATACGAATATGCGAATTCACAAGAGGTAATGGTCGAAAATAATTTTTGAGGATCGAAATACAAAAATAATGCCCGCTCTTGATGCATTTCATGCGTGAAATCGAATTCGAGTGCAACCAAGCACGAATTCGAACTTTGCCCGATGAGTGTAACGATCGACGCCATGCGTCGAAACTCGCGTATCGAACGCCCTTTATAGATCTTTGCGAAGCGAATTCAGAACGAATCGCAAAATTAACGTCTACTCACGCCTCTCGGTCGTATTCACTCTCGTAACGCTGCGACTTTTGGAGTAGTGGAGTAGTGAACGCCCGCTCTCGATCATGGCCGATCGCGATACGAACGGATATTAGTTGCGTTGAAGACGGTGCACAGCACATCGAGAATCGCAAGCATCGCTCCTTTGTTGCAAACTTCACTCGATCGCTGATACGAGACATAAAAATGATGACACGAAAATATTGGAAATATTCGATCGAAAGATATAGAATAAGGATCATTTCACGACCTTTAATGCGTCCGACTTTGCTTGTCCGACGTTAATATTTTAATGAGTTCGATACTTTAGATACCACTAACCTCAACAATGCTCTCGGAACCCAGCCGAGACTCGCCAACGATCTCAGCGCATCTTTTGTCACGAGCGATTCGGCCGCGTTACGTTTGCGTGTATGTGAATGACGACGAGCGTGAAATTCACGTCTCTGTCTCAGTAAATGAGTTCAACACGGAATTTATATCACCGGTAGCACTTCTTAACACAATGTACTACCATCTTCGCGATTTCCGCGACTCGGATGCAATCGCACTGACCAATGTCTTGATCCGTGTGAATGTAACTACTTCCGGTAGGTCGAGATCCTGTATCATGGCGCCAATTATCACACGCCACTCGACTCAAACGACTTTAACGAACGACTTTCCTGCCGACTTTCCGAAATCGGTCAGCTCGCTTTCGTAATTTGGCTGCGAGCGTTCCCTGCGTGCGTCTCCTTGCGTTAATAGCGCCTCGACTCGGTGGAGCCGAAAGAATCAATTCAATTTGAATGCAACCAATCACAACCCGGAGCCGGAAAAAGAGCGATTTCTATTTGACGATATGAAAATTACTCGATGCTCGTATATTCGGTGTTTACTTTCACAAATAGGTTAGGACAAGTGTAGGCAAAGCAGTAGTTCGAAAGAAATCATCTTGAACGCAGTTTCCGTATTAGTGATTCCGTGAAGCTCATTAAGTATTCTTTTAATATTATCTGATTATCTTTCTATTCTTACTGTAAAAGATATTACTGTCGTGAAACAGTATCGATCTTTTAGAATAAACCTTTGCAGAATTTGACATTTTTTTTTACCCGTAAAAAGCAACATTGCTTCACGAGTGTCGATTGAATCGACATTTGTTTGTCAGTTGCGCAGAAATCCTCGAGAAACGTTAAAAATTACCCTCGCGTCACAGCAGGAAGTCTTGAATTCTTCGAAACGATGGCATTTGCGGATCCTTATTCAATGAGGTATGAATTTATCACGCAAACTACAATTCTAACGGGAAATACGATATGTTAAATCGCATTTCGTAATTAGTTCGACTTTATTAACTTTTTTATTGATTTAATTCTTATTTGATATTTCAACAGCCATTGGCAGCTCATGACGCTCCCGGATGCCTAATAATCTCGATATCGAAATGCTTTAAATCTCTGAGTCTAATCTTATGAGAAATCTTCTCGAGTTAATCTTAATTATAACGAAACTGTTTTCATAATTCAAGGATTACAGCTTTGGAACTGGCTCTCCTTATATTCCAAAAATACAAATATACCGGTAGATGTCTGCAGCATTCTATTTACGACGTAACTGTCGGCGTATGCCTGAAACTTACCTGCGTTTGCATAATCAACGTGACGCGATACCTGCGCGCTCGCACGCTGATAGTCTCCGTCACGAGCGCATTTCGCTTCCTCAGTTCTGCGGATAACCGTGACCGGTGCATTTCTTCATTCGTCTTCGAATTGGAATCGCGATTGCGTCGTTTCTGCAATGTCGCGTGACCGTGAATAATAAATAGTCATGAATTGTCATGTTTTTGGTATGACTTGGTAATTCTCGGTGAATCTATTCATACTTGGAGTGAACAGTGTGTATTTAAGAGAATGAATTTCCGATAAAATAATACGATATATTTACACACTGCAAAAATTATATCGATGCGATATAATCAAGTACAACGAATCTCAGACTGCCTCGCGCTCAATGAAATATTTTGCAGCTAAATTTCTCGATGGACGACGATAGGGAGAAATAACGATCTCTGTTTTACAGTGAATCCTACCGGAAGGCGTTACAGCAATTTATAGATCGTCGCCGATCGTCGAGCGAATTGGTCAGTGATGCGGAGTTCTATTCTTATCAACCTATCAAGCAGAACGGTGAACACCTCATAACAAAAGACAACAATCGGAACTGCTACAATAACTCAAAGCGGCGAAAATACTCGTCGCTTATACCGGGTGTATCGCACGTACAGGCTTCAGAAATCTTCGAGATCGGATGTGTGGCGGGTACGGAAGACCGATATCTCGAACTGGTTTCTGCCGAGTGGCACAATACGAGAGTATCGCTGAAGAGACACACTCATCCGGCATGTCAGAGCGCAATCAAAGCGGACATAGAAATTCTCACGTAAGAGCCATTTCACTTTCTAATGTCGTGTTTCATCAACAGATAAAAAAAAAGATATTGGTGAATAAAGAGCGAAATATTTTTCATCGAGAAGTTGTTAACGTGTCGATATTCCTTTTACTTTAAAATTACTTTCACCTCCATCTTTTAAATTGAAATTTATAAAATACCCTGTACTTGCGATATGAAGATGAATTAATCGCAACTTTATGCATTGCCAGGGAAATTCGGCATCCCAACGTACTGCTGTTGATGGCGACAACGCATACGGATGAGCACGGCCTCGTTTCCATCTTCGAATCTGTCAACTGTACGTTGTACAATTTCATACACGAGCAAGGGGAACGAATGGATATACAACATATCGCGCAAATAGGAATGAAATTGGCAGATGCATTGAAATATTGTCATATGCGCGGATACGTCCACGGGGCGGTCAGCTCACATTGCGTTTATTTTGTACCTAATGGTGGTATCAAGCTGGGTGGATGGGAACTGGCTGCTTTGGAAAACGTACGTAAACCAGATTTTCTACTATAATTTCTACTATAGTAAAATGCAACTGAAAATGTATACTACATATTCCGAAATATAGTCGCAAATAATTACTAAATTATTATATAATTCACGTTCAAATAACAAATGTGCCTTCTCGCGGTATTAAGGTCAATCGTCGGCTGATTTAAAAATTTCACAGACAGAATGGATTGTGAAGAAGCGAGTCGCCGCGTCATATCCGCGATCCCATGACACACCCGTGCTTCACCGACGGAAACGGCCGGCATTGTTTTCGACAAAATGCTCGTTTCTGAATAAATTCGCTGTACCGTGTCGATGTTAATCGTGCGCGCACGCACAGTTTGGAACGCGGAACTTGTGTAAATCATAATCGCAATTAAATATGATAGATTGTTTCCTACGGAAAAAAAATACAGGATGCCAAAGTAATCCGCAATCCAGGAAAATAAATAATTAAATAGGATTATTGTATTTGTCATAAGATACATCTCTTTGCAGGATGATACACATCGCAACTACGAGAAATGCTTACGAACGGAGATCTTCAAGTGGCAAGCGCCGGAATTTTTCTACGGACTCTGCCCTTCTACAAAAAGCGACGTTTATGGCTTATCATTGTTACTTTGGGAAATGAGCACAGGTATAGATCTCGTAACTTTTTCTCTTATAATCCAAATATATTATTAAGAGAAACTGTTAAAGCTATGTCACGTTTTTATTACATTATTATACAAAGGATGAAAAATTGATTTGGTGAGATGCCAATAATACAACTAATTGTTGCTATTGTGTAGCGCGTGTACCATGGAACGGCTGTAACCGACCACACGTAGAACTGCAGTACACAACGCGAAAAAGAGGTGTCACCGTGGATTTAGATATATTCCCACCGCGTCTTCAGAAAATATTAGAAATCGGACTGCAACTTGACGCTGCGAAGAGAACATTGGACATGGACAAAATACGAAAAACTCTTCACAGATTACTTGTACGTATATTTAAATTCTTCGAGTTTCTTCGAGATATATAGATTCATTTTACGTTGAATAGTTAAAAAGCTGAATAGTAGATAGTTGAAAAGTTATTCAGAGTTATTTTTATGTTTGAAGATGTCGGAGGAAGCAGAAGCCACGTCATATGTCAATCAAACTGGAATACTGAAGCTCGAAAAGAACAACAATATTAAAAACATGCACACGTCGACCCCGATTTCTCCGTCTTATGAAAATATAACGTTGATAAGAAAATCATCCACCGATAAATTAGACCGTATGACAGAGGAGAAGCTCACCAACCGACTCTTCACGTCTACAATGGTACAATGCAACAGGGATTTAGATGAGAATAACATTGAAAAGAAGAACGTGTTTCTAAACAATGATAGTATCAAGAGACTCGAGAATGAATCACAAACTACTAATTATGATACTTACACGAAACATGTAAATAGCGCGAAAGAACTTAAAACCGAGGAAAAATTACACAACACTACACGATCTGATATAAAACGACTGAAAGAAATGAACGCAAGTAGAAGGCAGCATTTCTTCAACGAAAACAACCCAGAATTTGTTTCTTCAACTCCAAGTAAATATGATGAATATTCAAATTACTTAATAATTTTTTATATAAGTTATGCTGAAACATCTTACTCTCGTTGCAATAATTTAATTAAGTTCATAATTTCCTCTATACGTCAGATTCGACGCGTACCAATAAGAATGCTGATTATGTACTATGTAAACCGGCTAGTCACGCAACAAATATGGAATTGAAATACAAAAAGTCACCCGGTGAATACGAAGGAAATATTATGAAACCGTCATACATGCTAAAACAAAAGGTACTATTTCCGAAGAGGAAATTACCAATACACAATATGCACCAATCAACCGTATAGATATATTTTACACCTTGACACATATGCTAGAATATAGTAGAGACTTGAAGTTAAAAGGATATGTGCATTATGTACAAAGTTAATATAATAATCACTATTGATCGTTTTTTCGCTGATGTTCATATTTATTTTGTTATAGGCGTCATACACAAATATGCCTTCGAGCATTAAGGATGTAATAGCGCAACGTCAAGTTTTACATTCTGATGTAGAAAGCTTCTACGAATCAATATTATGGAGAAAGGAAAAGCTGATTTGCTTATCACGAATGGGACGTGAAAATAACAACATACGTCAACGTGTTAGTTGATCGATACATAGTTATCTTAATCATCATTTTTATCATATATTGTTTTACAAACACGTTATTAAAAATTTGTAAATACATTTTAATATTATCGATTTTATATTGTTCGATTTATATTATATTTGCAGTCTTGGCCATTGTTGCCAAAACCATTCATTAGCGGTAACGGTAATCCTAACAACGATGAAACGCAATATGCTAAACCGGACTCTACAAAAAATAACGATACGTTTATTATCAAGGATGCATTTGAAGAAGGAGGTAAAAGGAGAATATGCTTATCTTTCTTGAAATCTTTTATTAAACTTAAAATATCCTACACATAATATCTTGTCATCGACATGATAAATTAACGTTATCATATATAATCACAATAGATAATCATACCAAAGATGCCAAAGAGTCATTATCAGAAAACATACGAAGCAACAATACGTCCATGGAGGTCTTAAACTTTTCAGACAACCCATTGCAAGATCTGAAGGATGCTATCGATCGCGCTACTAAGATCGTACGTTCAGGAACTCTGTATGAGGATTCAGTTTATTATCAAAACTGTCGCAATTCCGAGAGCAATACAGATAATACACAAAAGTACAAAAGCGCACTTGAAGATCTGTATAAAACGAAATATGATGACAATAACCGAGAGTTTAGTGTTAACGAAAAATCGTCTGGTATGAGCGTTCTGGACGATTATGTGACCGCGGAAAATAGTATTGAAATGGAACACAAAGGAAACGTCATTCACGATTTTGTAAATTATAATAAGTACGATGCTACGTGCACAAGTAAACTTATCTGCGAGACTATAACGGAGAAGGATTCCAATGGATCTCAAACATCAGTAGAGAATCAACAGTTGGAGGACTTGCAAAAGTCGAATCGAGATGGAAAAGCTTATACAATTAGTGCGTCAATCCCACACAAAGCTGATGATATAGCAGATTTAAAAATGATTCCGACGAAATCGACCGATGTGAATACTTTTTTGCTGCGACCGAGCAATACTGCGAAATGTGAGATTTGTAATTCATACGATTTAAACGATTTGCGAAGACGTTCTTTGCCCGCGTGTTTGAGTCACCTGAAAATCACGCACAGCCCAAACTTGAAGAAGATTCATGCACACAAAAATGTAAATAGACAATTGTTTTGAATTTAATGCACTCTTTATTACATGATAAAGCAGATATTTGATTTGTTTGATCCCTATTGCAGTGTTTACGAGATAGCAACTGTACGATTGAGGATCTATACATCGACGACGAGTTCGGCAGCCGATTAAACGACAATCTAGTTCTCTTAAATGACGGTTTACAGTCATGTACTATGGATGACTATCCATACGACGATCAAAATTTACTTCAAACTACGGAACTGTAAACCTCATTGAACTCACACACATCTTGTTCATTCGTCCATTCAATTGTAAGAAGCTTCATCTCTCTATCGATTAATATATCTTTATTTATTCCATTCTCCATTATGTTTTACCGTTTTGACGACATAATAAATGTAAGCGATACAAACCTGATGTAATATGTATATAATTGTTACTTTTTTACCAATGCAATTATTAGATCGGCAGTATCGCTTGTTTGTGTTCACGAACACAATATAAAATAATTTAAAATTATACAAAATGTTTCAAGATTGACGTGTACGATTGAGTAAAAAGCGACTTTACTTTAGTAAATAAACTGAGATGAATATCAAATAATAATTTCGTAATGAATCGTCAATGATGGTACCAAAGCTATCATTTCGCTATACATATTTTTTGAAACATTTTTGGTACGATTTCAAATTATTCGCCAAATATTTTATAGACACATATCTTTATTTTACATAACATACATACTATCTTGTGCAATAACGACACAAGAATTAAGGTGTTAACGTTTTCTTATTTTTAGTTTGTAAAAATTACAATGCATTGGTAGAAAGAATATCAGTTCTCATAAAAGCAAATATAAAGCAATTAAATATATTATATGTGCTATTTTATGTATACACCCTATCACTTGTATCACATATTATTGATCCTTGCCTTAACTATGTTCCATGATACAATAATCTGTGCTCTCTTTCTTCTAGCTTTAATTTATATTAATTCATGCAAAATATAAAATATCGTCGAACGAATTTATAATGGCATATTATATTTCTGCAAGTGATACTTGCTACTTCCTGTATCCAGGGAATTACTTTTCAAATGAGAGAACTCTTCAATTTGTCAGTGCAGATAAATTTAAAGTGCCAACCCAAAAACAGATACAATACAATACATAGTTTTATTTTCCCAGCGTACCGTGCAGCTTCCATCCGTAGCATTATCCCAATAGCATGAGCTTGCAGTATGTAATCCAGCTCCATTTTTTTGCATGATTGTACAGGTTACTGAAAATATTGAATATATTTACAAATGCAGGAAAACAAAATTTTGAAATTAATAGACATAAACCAATGATATTAAATCTATTGAAATTAATAGACATAAACCAATGATATTAAATCTATTGAAATTAATAGACATAAACCAATGATATTAAATCTATTGAAATTAAATCTAATGAAATTATTGATATTAAATCTAACGAAACATATATATGAAATATTGCAAAACTACTATATCTATCATTAAATATTTTATGAATTTGGGAATTATTCTCTTCTGGTGTTATTTTCAAGATATTTAAACCTTTCTTGTCACAATAAAGTAATATCTTTTTTAGAACTTAAAACTTGGTTTGTGTGTTACCAATATATTTGTAAGCTTTTTGTAATTTTGTAAGATTGCCTAAACAAGCCTCCACAACATTTGAAGTCCATTGATTGACTTTGTTGTGTTGATAAGCATTGCCACCTATCGATACCTCAATCGCTTCTTTGATGATATTGCTCACATCATCTACTACAAATTGTAGCTGAAATCATAACGTGTAAACTATAAACTACTATACTATAAACAAATACTATAAACAAATTGAATTGAAATTTAATGTACTTTGAGATGCATATAATTTCAGTCCTTTGTATTCAATAAATAAAGATAATTAATATATAAATGTATTATTAACCTCTTCTTGTGTATCCTCCATTTCAGACAATGTTGTAAAAGCTGTTGCACGATCAAAGTAACCTCTGTAGTGTACACAATACACAGGAATTATTTACTCAATCCAGAAGATTTGTTTCAGCTTCGTACGTCTGTATAAAAGTATTGATATATATATTTATAAAAATGTTTTATTGTTATAAAACATCCAGGAGACTTACAATAATTTTCCTAATTCTCCACTTTGTTGATTGCAGATGTACTCCAAGTCAAATTAGTAATTGTAAAAGTGATGCATCACTATGACATACCCTCGTATTGATACATTCGTTCTAATGAAAATATTCATCACAAACTGCTATGACAGTTGCCTCAATCACCTGTAAATATAGTCAGGGATAATCAGCAATACGGATAGATGAAGCTCGAGCGATGAATCGATGTTCGATTCTTCGAAAAAAAAAAACACGATAATTATCTCTTGGATATTTTTAATTCTAATTAAATCTTATACCGCTATTTTGTTAAATCTAATATTATTAAACTTCATCACCGAAAGAATTCTTTGAATTTATAATTCCTACGCATGTATATTTCATTTGAACTGTATCAAAGTCTATTATATTAGGAGTTTTTATTAATTTTATCTTTTAATAATATAATTCTGTTTCAGGGAGAAAGGATTTATTTATTTTTCATCAGCAAATAGAAGCGAAAATTTATTTATCCAATAATTCAGTAGTCGAACTATTGAAAGAACCGTCGGTTTCGCCGTTGAGTTGCACTACTTCCAACGAAGGTTCCTCTGATCACTACATACGGCGCTAGTATCGCAGACGCAATAGCAGTCATTTGGCGCGCAACGACGGTTACATTCTGAAGCAGTCGTTTGAAAAGTAACGACGAAGTGCTGGAGTCGTACATGGTGTCCCGTGTGTTTCGTTGATGTTTTGACGGGAAGAAGTGTGTTCGAGGATGCAGTGAAGTTACCTGCGGTGAGAAATGGCGGAGTATTTCGAGGAGACGCTCGCGTCTACGACGGAGTTGGACATGTGAGTAAATCCATTGTGATATTTTTCTGATATTGAATTTTCCAACGTTCTCCATCACCATGATGCCTTCGCGTGGACGACCTCCCACATGTAAGGTCTGCTCGTAAATATAAATAGACGTACATCCTGTCATTGAACTTGCACCGTATTAATAAACGCATTGTTAATAAGGACAAAAGATTCGCATTACGGTTCGTCGTGAGCCGTTTGTGTATATAAGATATATGGTAGTAAATTATGAGTTTCTCTCTCCCACACACACACCAACACACACACACACATACACACATACATACACATGCACACATATGTTGCTTTTGCGTATTGAAACAGGTTTAAGCAGATTCTAGAGCAGAGTTGAAATTGATCCTGTGTCGATATGAACGATGTATTGTTTTCAAATAATTATATTTTTTTTGTTTATTACTTTGATATCTAAAATATTCCTTTTTCGTATTTTACTGGTATATCAAGATAAAGATACTGTCGGGAATGACCTTATCGGCAGAGTGTCGAATACCTTTTCGGTAATAAGTTTCAGTAATATTTACTCCATCATTGTCTTTCACTGCGACGAAAGGGCACTCGATTAATAGATTTTACGATATAATAACGCGTCGTTTCACAATATGTTTTTTTTTTGTTGGAATATCATATGATATATAATTATAATTTTTCGATTGTATTCGGCGATTTAACTATATGATTTATGACACAATAACACCACAAACTTTATTATTGTAAAATTAATATTATTGTGAAACTGATTGTTGTAGCCGTGAAACATGACAGAAAAATATTTTCCTTTTAGATAAAAAGTGCAATGCAGAATTCAGAATGTAATTGACATCGCGGGACACATTGTTTTGTCGCGTATTTTCGCAGTCCATACTCCACAATAAATCTCCAATTTATACTCACTTTACTTTGCACTAACGCAAACAGTTATCTTCCTCCGGTGTTAAAGGTCATCTTATACATGTGTAGTGATTATCAATTTAGTTCATTGCATTAATCTCACGAGTGAGTATAAAGACACCGTCGTTCGATCACACGCATATACATACACACACATATACATACGGCGAAAGAAATATTGGAAGAAATCTCGAACATATGCGATAAACTTCATTCGCTGTCTTTCATAAAATTCAATAGCAGATATCTCGTAAATTCGAGTAATCACGCATTTCTTGAGATTTTCGGTAGAAGACGTCAACTGCAAATTCGTGAAATGCTGTTTCAGCTGAGAAAGATAAATGTACTGGGAGATATTTTATATTGTTTTCTAACTATAGAGAATAACATTGGTCATTGGTTTTGTGCTTCGAGTAAGAATCGCCGCGGTACTAATCGATCGATTGAGAAACGCTGTATCGTCGATCAACGTTTAATCCTTTTCGTGTTTTTGCGATCCTCCGTATTTCTCGTGTCTGTTTCTGTCATTCACCGCCAGCTTGACCTCCCTATCTTCTCGGCGCATCTCGTTTCTTCTTTACCCTTCTTCACGTTTCTCCCCTTTTACCAACATACGCCTACCGCCTTCGTGTTGTCCCTTTTTCCCTTCCGTTCTTTGATCCGGTCATACAGCGCGTTTACGTTAAGTATCGCGAACTGATTTACACGTCCGTTGATAGCGAGTGAGCGAAGCAGCGGAATATTCGGAAAAAGCACGTTGCATGTCGAAAATATTAAAAATCTCAACTACCGATTTAGAATAGAATTTGTACAAAATATATATAGTTGCATACAAAATATAATTATACGCATATAATATATATATATATATATACCGGGTGATTCAATGTGCTTGAAATCACTAGCTCGGAAATGAAAAGAGAAATTGAAAAATTTTTGTTAACGTATTTTAAGACACGCTAAATTTATTAGTCTTATCGTTATCAACTTGCAGATTTTTGGAATAGAAAATTAAACTTTTTCAGTTCCTCTTCATTCACATAAAAATTCCCAGAAATTAGGATAATTTAATATCAATTATATTCAGTTGGATAACATGATGCCAAAATTTCATTTGACCCATAAACTATATCTAAATTAAAAATATGAAGAAATCAAGAATCTTTTATTTCTTAATTTATTTCTTATTTCTTAATTACAAAACTTTCCACAAGTCGGTAACGAAAAGTCTTGGGACACACATATTTGAATAAACTTTTTATTTATTTTTTTTTCTTTTTTATAATTATTCCCATCTTCCTAGTTAATGGTCTCAAATGTCGAATCGCCCCGTATAATCAACAAAATATTTCAGCAACAACTCAAATATTTTTCTTATTGTTTCGCGCATATTATCTTGAATCTTATCTGCATTCTCACGTCCCGACTTAAAGTCGCACCTGATGGTTCCAACGACAATTAAGTGTTCGGAGGTGCGCGAAGAGTGAACCGCGTAAGGTTCACTGCAAGGAGTCGAAATATAAATATCGGTATAAATATAGAATTGGTCGTTAAAAAAGGTACTTTTTCTAAACCGGAACTGGAGCGGGCGTCATTTTATTGACGCCCTTAGCGTGCTCCGGCGGGCACGGCGGCGCGCATCCCTTGCATCTCGAGGCCTCTTTGCCCCGTGCCTCCCACCCTTCTATTTCTGCACGACTTGTGTTGCCGTCTGTCGTCAGTAGTCTTCGGTGCGTCGTGCAATACGCAGGGTGCGTGTACGAGAACGAGACGCTGTAATCACGCGCTGCGTCAGAGCGTTTGTCTCTCAAATAAACAACCTAAACCCGACGCGGCTTGTGCGCGCGCGACGGCTCGCATTCGCAGCGACGAGGTCGCATCTCGCGCTTGCTCAGCTCGTGAAACGTCGTCGTCGTCGTCGTCGTCGTCGTCGTCGTCGTCGTCGTCGTCGACGTAAAACAACGGAGCTCGTCGTAGACGAGGAACGAACTAGCCCCTACCCAGAAGAAAGGACAGCGGTGACAGACAGGAAGCTGAAGATCCACCCGATTCCCCCGAAACGTCGTGATAAGTGCACTGCCATTATCATCGATATACAGCCCCGTTATCTAAATTAGCCGGAGAGCAAATCGGCCGAATTAGCGTCGAGATTAGCGCGAGCTACGCTGCTGTGAGAAACCACGAGAAACCTCGCTGGTGAACTTGCTGTGAACGATCTCGTCTCGACTGGACAAGCCACGAGATATTCAATAACGACCGCAGAATTATCTGACGCGTCATCTTCAGCGAGAGTTATCTCCATTGATCGGTCCAGCTGCGGAGACACATGGTACGTTCGCGCTAACGCGCCGCCCTCGCCTCCAGACTAGAGGAGTACTCCCGGACGTTCTCTCTCCTCTCTGGCCTCGCTTTGACCCCGACGCAGTTGGCGGTTGGCGGGCCATGTCGCGTCGTCCAGGTCGCGAAGACGCGGGTGCACCTTCGAGGATAACAGTCGCCGTTCGCAAGGTTCGCCGATCGTATTCGCGGAATATTGTGTCGCCGTGTAATCGTCGCGTGTAGTACGTGTGCACGTGTGCTTCATGAGAGACAGAGAGAGAGAGAGAGAGAGAGAGAGAGAGAGAGAGAGAGAGAGAGAGAGAGAGAGAGAGAGAGAGGGGGGCTGCTATCGCCGAGACTGCGGGACTCACTCTATCGCGTGGAAAGACAAACTGCAATTTTCGCGGTACGCGTTTATCGAACTGTACGCGCCTTTTTTTCTCTTTTTTTTTTTTTTTTTTATCGCGTTCCCGGGACTTTTCAGGGCGGCAACAGCGCGTTTGTAGTGTTAGCGAGCCGAGTTTCCAAGGGCTTCGCCACGGATGTCGCGTGTCGTTGCTCCGCGATAGTCGCCGAGAGAGAAAGAGAGAGATAATTGCTGCAAAATGCTAGTCGGTAGTTATCAGTACGTCAGCCAGTACCAAAATGTGTCATCCTCGTCGAAGGAAGTCGGGGCTTGCAGCAGTGCCTACAGAAGTCCCTTTCGAACGTGAGTACTGCGTACAATCAGGTCGAGCGTTAAGTTGCTTGAACCCTTCGGCGGTATCGAAGAGTGGGAAGCACTCTTTTATTTATACGGCGAATGTTTTACCCAGGTGTTCGGCTTTCTATGGCTTAACGAATTTGCCTCTCTAGGTGGAAAATTGCACTTTGTTTTTTGAAATGACCGCGCTCGCCGTTTGGTGCATCGCGATAAGCCCGTCTTTTCGAGGTGGTGGATGATGGATGTATAACTTTCGCCGTGCCGTGAACGGGTACACGTTATTAACGTTACGGGGGGGTTAACGCGAACGTATGAAAGGTTAATTAAGAGATCTCGTTCGCCTTCTTTAAAGCGTTCCCAATCGCGCGTAGCTTTCATCGAGCGTGCACGCGGGAGATATTTGGCGCAGTTGTTTATCATAATAGATTTTTGCAGCCTCAATATAAAAATCAGTAGTGCATAAGATCTTGCTTGTTTAAACGAGATGCACGGAACACACGAGATGCACTGTCCAAATCAATTAATTAACGATATTTCTGTAATATGGCTACATACAGCTATTATCGCGCGGTCGTTATTAGATTATCGTTATTCGTCGTTGTGATGACAAGTTTCTGATTATATTTTATCTCCAACGTCACGACGTTGCAACGGAGATTTCTCAGTAGCCATTGTGTCGCTTAGCGCATATATACGTGATGCAAAATGTATCGCATTGATCTACTTACTTATGTACTCCTCTTTAAACATTACTTGAATACGTTGCAATGACCCGGGAAGAGAAACACGCCTTTCGCCATGTTGCATAATGAATCAGCGATAACAAGATAACTTATGCGATGATTGGTACAAGAAAAGCGCGTTTGATGTTACACAAGGATATTATTTTCCGTCGTTTACAATTTCCAATGTTTCTGCTATATACGGGGTGTCTAGGATTTTTTGGAAACGAAAAATTGCGAAGATTAATCAGATCAGACTGAGAAAAGAAGAGTCATTTTGCAAAAAGTCGCAATAGTTATCAAGTTATTAATGATTAAAAATGACATTTGGAGGATTTTTTTTAATTGATAACTTGAAAATTTACGCACTTATCTGCGAAATGCTACAAGACTTTTTTTGTTCAAAATGACCTAATCTACAATTATATGACGACTATACTGTGTCTAACGATAGATATGAGTATATTGAATTTTATATAATTGTAGATTGGATCATTTTGAACAAAAAAGTTCTTTACCATTTTATAAATAAGTACGCGAATTTTCAAGTTACCAATTGAAAGAGCCTTTAGATGTGGTCATTCTCAATCATTAATAACTTAACTATCGTGATTTTTGCAAAATGGTACATGACTTTTCTTTTCAGTTTAATCTGATTAATCTTCAATTTTTCGTTTCCAAAAGAACCACCTGTATAATTCAGAATGTGCGTATATGCGTGTTAAATATCGTGTAAGCGTGTAACAATATCGTGTAGTGCGTGACACGTACGAAAATGTTTTCATTAGAGTTTCGTAAAAGACAATATCTCAATCATGATTGTTATCCGATCTGATTATTATGTGAAAAAATAATATCAAGTTAATATGATACCAAGTTTAATATAAATCGCACATGATACTGATTGTAACATCAAGCAATGTGTTTTTGTGTTTCTGGGCCTCCTATTATAATAAGAAGCGCTAAAAATTATTTACTTGAGACGCATCGTAAAATTGCACAAGGCATTCACGTCGGCGAATGTCTGCGATGAATATTTGCAAATGCGCAGTCTCGACATCGTATTGTAAATAAAGTTCTGCCGACGCGGGTCCAGCTAATTATTTAACTGCTCAGTCAATTCATTTAACGAACCGTTAATTGAGGAAACTTCGCACGCCGGACACCTACATAGCAGTTTCACATATCGTAACCCAGTGTAAATGTTTGAATTATCTCATTCGGAGAAATATCGTTTAGCTCGTTGATTATACGAGGGAGTACACATTTTGATATCGCGGCGAAGCGTAAAGAACAATTATCGATGATGGTTAACTGGACGGGCGAGTAGAAAATCCCAAGATAATACAATAACAAATGTCCGTTTGTCGCAATTAAATTATCCCTGTATTAATTGAATTAGTCAACTGGTATTGATATTAATCGAACATTAGCTTTGTGCAACGTTTGTGCAACAATGCAACAAACTTTGCATTTATTCTTCTCGTCATGCTATTTTACTTCTTCTCTGCGCTTCCCGCACTCGTAACAGAAAAATCCCTTTCCGTTACGATTCAAGTAGAGATGTGCGAATCAAGAATTTTTATGTCGAATCGAATCGAATCGAATCTCATTTTTTTAATTCGAATTCGAATCGAATCGAATCTATGAAATTTCATTCGAATTCAAATCGAATCGAATCATTAAAAAATTTAACATGACTATTAAACATGCATATAATGATGGAAGGTTTTAATATGAAAGGGGATATTGATATTGTAATATCATCTTAAAGTAAAATATATATTTAAATATTTAAAGTAATTTATAATTAAGTTATTAATTATAAGTTAAGTTAATTACAAGTTACGGGTTCAAACATACAGGCCCAGATGTCTCGTTTTGTACTTGATGCATGCAAATATATAGTAATGCACGCTAATATATTTGATTCGTAATTGAATCTTCGATTCGAAATTTTCGAATTATTCGGATTCGAATCATAGGGATTCAGATTCGAATCGAATCGAATTATATTAGATTCGATTCGAATTCGATTCGAATTCGAATAGTTCGCACATCTCTAGATTCAAGTTAACGTACGATCGGCCAATGCAATTTCGGTTCAATGCATTTTTGATAGTGCACTATTTATAGTGACTATCAAAAGTTGAAGCACGTGCACGTTTCTGCTGCTGCTGCTGCTGCTGCTGCTGCAGCCGACGACGACGGCTGTATAACCAGTATTGATTACTTACTGCATCCACCATCTTGCCAGATGATGGCAACTCTGGTGCGCCCTTTTCGTCATCTACTTTGCAATATCGCCTGCAAGCGATGTCTCTGCCTGCACTTTATTTCTCGCTCAAATGGAAAAAGAGGAAACTCATTGTACATTATCATGTATTTCTCCAATATTCGAAAATGAACGGAAATATTTCTTTAAAATTCTCGATTGGCAATTTTCGCTTTTATTTCCATTCACATACAACCATTTAATTAATTGCGTCCACCTAAGGACGTTCAAGTTTCGCCTTGGGAGGGAGACTCTCGAACGGAAATATCCGGTCAGTCAGGGAATTTCCACTCTCTTTCCACTCGCTGTCTGCGAGACATCCAGAATCCATAAAGTTGAATCACCCGTATTACACGATGTCACGAGTACACAAATGAATCACATTTCATCCCGTAACGTGCAATTACGCCCACGCTCGAGCACCTCGCGTTTAATAATAACGCCGCGTTATCGCATAATATGCGCGTCCTGCACTCGGCTCTTTCAACGTCGCCCGACATACGCACGTCGAGTCGGCGTAAGATTCTGAGAAGTCCGTATCCGGATTCGTTAAGCCTAGAAGCAAGGGTAGCGCTTAATATAACGGTGTCGGGTGCAGAGGGGTAAAACTAAAAACCCGCCGGTCTCGCGTCTCTCGCATTTACGACTCGGGCTCGTCGAGGAGAACTCAATTACCCGATTTCAGAGATCGCTTTCGACTATGTCGAAGTAGCTTCGGCAATTAACTGGAGCTAACAGAGATCTTCGGGCGCGGGAAATTATGCGCGGAAGGTACGTCGGAATTTAGGGAAAAGACGGTAATGAAAAATTAAATTAAAAAATTTTCGAACGGATAAAATGTCGAGCGTCTCGGATAACTTTTGATAACATTCACAAAACATGATTTTGACATTTGAGGCTTAATTGAGGTGGATACATTTAATATTAATAGTATCAAAGCTCGAGCGAAATAGGAGAAAGCGATCTCTAGGTTCAGATTTTTAGGCAATGGGAAACTTGCCCGAAGAAATTCGCGCCGACGGATAATAATTCCTACACATCAACGTGCGCCGCTTTAGTTCGTCGAACCTCCGTTTATAAGCGATCCGTTATCTTTCTGCTCCTTTGACGATAAGAAAGATTCAAAGGGTTATTTTGAACTTGGCACTCGCGGCACAGTCGGTGCTTTATTCTCCCGAAGAATTCGACAACAGGTCGAAATAAAAGTCGGTCTGGTTTTTTAGGCGCGCATAGTTTGGACATTACGTTGCCCGAGAGCGTCCTGCGTTCTTTTTTCTTTTTTTTTTTCTACCTGCGTTATCATAGATACTATTCGACGACAAGCGATCATGCATCGTATCGCTGGTCATAATTGTGTCATAACGTTTTGAATAATTTCTGTGGAATTCTGTGTTCTGTTTCCGCGGATATTCGACGAAAATCATCAGTACGAGCGCGCAATTTGCTAAGAATCACGAGAGCGACACGCCGGACAAGCGCGTTCCGTTTGCATGCGCCTTCGGATTGTGCGTTATGCAACGACAATATGTGAAATTGTAGCATTACCTTATGTCTACCACATGTCTTCTAATTATAACCGAGAAGATTGTGCACGGCTGCTTCGCGCGAACACCCGGTGTGCTCTCCCATACTTGCTTGATAGAAGCAAAGCAGCTTCTCTCGATGTCGCGTAAATAATTTATAGAAGAAGGCAAAAAAGATGAGCGGCGTGTAACATGACGATCATAATTAAATATTAATTATCGAAGCTATCGTATGCTAATTCATAACAATTGTATGACGATTGATTATCCTACGATTATTAGTCGTCTCGACCTTGTACGCGCGTACGTTTCGGAGAATGTACAGAACTTTTGAGACGCCACGTGTAGAAATCCTTGCGCCTCCTTGGTCCTTAGCAATATCTCGTTAGCAATAGCACGTTTGTCGTGTCTGTGTATTACGAGCACGTATTTTCTCTTAGACTGTCATCTTTATCATGAAACACGATACTCCGTTCGTTCGCGCGCGCGGATTCCACGCGTTATGATTCGCGAACGCTTTCCATGGTATATCTATTTCTAGCTCTCGCGAGATCCGTTAGATAAGACCTGCGAAAGAATCCTGTGTTCTTCGTTTACGTTTGATACTCAAGTAACTTGATTGATTTGCCTCGCAAGGTCGAGGTAGTGCTAGAAATTAATGCGGGCACTGCTTGCTCGCTGCATCGAGTATTGCTTAATAAGCAACCGTTTGCCTCTCTAACGAGTTTCCTGCTTTACGCATTTGTGCTCGGATTATACCGAGTCCTTCCGAAACGTCCTTACAAAATGGTACGCGAGGTAAATCGAAAAATATGTAGAGGTCGTTCAAATTTACCGCGAGCGTTTGTCTTTAAAAAATTGCCTTAAAAATCTTTATCGATTGACATTAAAAATTGACACTGATCAGTTTATTTGGCAATTTATCAATAAAAATAGTAACTTGTTGAAAAAAGAGATTATACGGTAAATGATCGAAATTACGGCTGGAATAAAAATTATAACTTACTCAGGGAACTACCGATGAAATGAAGCTTCATCGATGCAAGACCAATATTAATTTATGAAATTTTCTACATACGTCTCTAATTAATTAATAGCAAGAGATTAGTGAGAGAGACCCCAGCATCATCCCATATATCTTTCCCGGAGATCGCGCTCGCTCTCCCCCATCGAATCGCGACTCGTTGGAAACGCGATGCGTAACTCTCGGCGTGGCGAAGTAGCGTAAAAGACACGGCGCTGATTAATTACTCATTTCGCGTCGCGGCATCGCGTCGCGTGGCGCAGCGCGCGGAGGAACCGGAATAGGATTTACGTGAAATCTAAATAAAACCTTACTGGAAATCCTGCGGTTCCTTGTCGTACGAGAGCCGCTGCTAGACAGCTCGGGCGCGGCGACAGTTAATATGCCCGCGTGGCGACCGCTTTACGTCCCCTTAAACAGCGCTGGTAAACGATTTCCGAGCAAAACCACGAAGCCGGATGGAATATAAGCTCTGTATAAACGATTAATTTCGTGCAACGGGTCCTGCTTCGCGGTCCTGGGGAGAACAGCGGTCATGCGGTCACCTGTATACATATATTATCCTGTACAGCTTTGTATGTAGGAATGTGAAAGAAAGAATTTCTTCATACGGATATAGGAGGAGGAATTGACGTCATGTGTACGACGTTCGTTTTTCGTGCAAAAATCTGCGCATCGTACGTGCGTATCGCGCTGATAGCGAAAGTATTAAGTGTTAAAGCGCGAGAATCTCGCCTCGACTCGTGATCGCCCGTCGTCTCCGATCTCGCTAATTGTTGGTTTGTCGGAACGAGATTTTGAGAAAAACGCCGAGGGGCAAGACGCTATTAATAATATTGGCAGGCGGAGTCTCTCTCGCGCGCTCGCGGTGCTCCTGTAAATCATTGTCCGCTCTCACTCGCGAAGTGTCGAAGTTGTCTTTGTTATGTCAGTTTTTTGGCTTTAGACGGTCCATCGTGGCTCTGGAAATAGAAATAGCGCCATGCTCACTTTGATCCTTTTCAAACGTTTCTTGTCTAATTCGGTCTCAGCTATTTCACAGCAGGCGCGCGTGTGCCATTATACCATTTTTGGTGTTTCATTCCGGGAATAGCCGCTCCTCATTTATCGTCCCTCATGAATCGCAGGGACACTGGGATTAACAGTGCGAAATTGTAGTTGTACGAAATTAATTCGCGTCGCGCCGCGACATTTTCCTGTATTCTCACGTGTCCTTGATGTTCATTTGGTACGTTGATGACGACATTTGTACTCAATTATTCGAACCTGATCTATTTTTCTGGGTTTGATGGAGCAAGATTTATTCTGACTTGCGCGATCAAACAATTTTCTAATCTTATCTGTCTTGTCCGCAGAACCAGCATGCCGTTGCAGGACATCACTATGAGCCAGACTTTGCCACTGATGAACGGTGAGTAACATTTATACATACTTAGACGTACATTTTCCGACCTTTCACTGCGATTAATTATTAAATCATCAATAGTAAGTCACGAACGTGACGAACGTGTTGCTCATTTTGTTCTTGACATTTCTACACCTCGAGAACTTCAAATCAGAAGCAAGTCTTCATCGAGTCTCTCAACCGCTTCTCTCGATCTTGTCTCGTCGATTGATCTTCGACGATGCGCGCGGCATAATTAATATTTCCCTCGTCGGAAGTCGGCGCTCCAAAGAATAGCCGGATATGATTTTACGCTCTATAAAGACGAAGGCGAGGCGGAAGATCGTATGGCGAACGATTACATTCGTGTTTCTTATTTACGACCTCGTAGCGGCGATTACATCGGATATCGGCAGATATCTCGATGGATCGGTCCACCGCTTGAAGTTGAGTCGTCATCGATATTGCGAGGTCATAATGCGCTGCTCGTTTGTGCGGTTCCTTTCCCTTTCGCACGAACGCGCGCGCCTACCTTTATTAGCCATTTCCCTTAATTGAACCCCCTCCCGCCCGTTCCGTTGCAATTGCGGCTGCAGATGCGTGTGTGATGCTGCGTTAAGTCGTGCATCAATTATAGCCCTCCCGGTTGGCGACCCGTTTGTCTCAATCGCCAGAATGGAAATAAAAGTTAATTTATTAGGAGTGTGATTTAATTTTGAGAGTTTTGCAAGAGATGTCAGTTTTAATAACTATTATTTTTGCTTCAATATTAATCCATGATATTTAATCATTTATTAACAATAGACGGAGTAAAAATCGTGTTAGCACCGTCTTAAAAACGGAGCATCTTCCTAATGAGCATCTTCAACATGCGTTGCTTTTGTTTTGATCAGCAGAAAACAGCGGCTGAAGGTCATAGAATTCTGATAGAAACTTATGGTGATGTTGCTTTATCAAGTAAGACATGTGAATGTTGGTTTAGACGACTCAAAAGTGATGATTTTAACGGCAAGGAGCCAACCAGCAACATCCACTTCGAGGCGCAATATTCACGGTTCAAAGGTGTTGCTGTGTATTTGGTGAGATCAGGAAGGTGTGTTGTGTACTATGAACTGTTAAATCCGAATGAAACTATCATCGCTGATCGTTATCGACAACAATTACAAATTGAAGCGAGCATTGGACATTGCTCTATTCGATTATCACTTGTTTCGGTCGACGCAACACGCTCTAGAGGATACACACTTTCATAACTTGGGACAAGTGCGAAAATTTGTCGAAAACTGGATCAAAAAAGGAAGAATCTTTTTATCTTTCGTCGCGGTGTCCATCTCTCGCCAGGAAGTTGGGAAGAAGTTGTAGAAGACGAAGGAAAATATTTTGATTAAGGTAGTCGTTCATCGTATCTTGTTTAAGTAAATCAGTTTTTGAAAAAGAACCTTCGAAACTAAATTATACTTGTAATATATGCGCGAGTCTCCACGCCTTTTTCTTCGATTGCCTGCCCACACATGCTCCTTACTATGCGATCTTACGACCGCATGGCTAACTCTGGTCATTACAAATTGAATGTTGAAATTTTCAGTCAACGCGGTCCGCCCGCCAAGGCAAGCAAGAACTATTCTCGACGCAGGATCCATAAAGTCATGTGGCTTTCCGTGTACTTAACTGTGGACTTAAATGTCGCGAGCAATCAAACGCGAATGAGTTCGCTTGGCGTTCGGTGCGTGTTAAGATTCGTGTACACCGAGTATAACGAGTGAATAGCGAAAGTGAATTCCCAGGCGTCTTCGGTCGAAATCTCGCCGGATAATGTGATCGTGTCAAATCAACCGCGATGGTTTTGGATTCCTTCGTCTTCGCTTTAAATTTCACGAAGAAGAAGGGAATCCCACTCGAGACGAATAACAGTTTTCTCGAAGCTCTCGATGGTGAAAATATCTCGCCACTGAGAGTCGTGAAGAGTGAATTTTTCACTGAAACTTCGAGTGACTTCCGACTCCGTATGAGTGAATGTTTCAATCGATCCGAGTGAAATTTTCCCTTTGACGGTGGAATACTTCAGATTCGCTCTTCGATTTCCAGCGAAAATATCCACTTTCGACGATTCAGAGTGGAGAGCTGGTTCTGTGTGAGTGAAAAATCACCTGGATCCCTTTCGAATTACTTTCCGAGTAAAGATTCATTCCAAGAAATTTAAAGAGTATACGAGTCCAAAAGTAGAATATTGTGAAGAAAGAAAAAAACGTTGTACCATGTTGTGAAAAAAAAAAAAGAAACGGGCGTCAATGACCGATCTTTGGGACCTTCGCGTCCGCGACGAATCACCCCAATTGAAAAACTCGGTGGGAGTAAACTCTTCAACTCATTCGCTCGTTACTCGACTCGGCGGTGTACACGCACCTTTAGAGGTCGCGCGGAGACGCGTAGGAGGTCTCCTGCAATTTGCCGTCGCACCATTCGTTACTCCCATTCGCACGATCTGCATTTTCCGCCGTTACTTGTCTCGTCGAGCGGCCGATTGTGCGGAGGTGCCGTTGCGTACGGATCAGCGAGAACACTGCGCGTGACATCGTGGTCGCCTAATTGTATCTCGCGTCGTGTTGGCGGGGCCAACGAACTTTCTTAGCTCGTGGTTTCACTCTAGCGAGGACGCCGCGTCGCCGCGCGCGGGGATAGTAACAACGCGGAGGTAGTGCACTATATAATCGCGTTTGAATCCGCACGATATACCTGCCAACTTTTGCACCTTCCGCCGCCGCGACGAATCTTCCTTTTGCGAACTCCCTGTCCGCGGAGTCAGCAGTAGCCGTGCCACGGCTTCTAATTCTTCCTGAAGGGTGGGAATTTGGTCACCACGGACCCGTGAGAACGAAGGGAATAGCAGAGAGCTGAATTATTAGCAATTGTCGAGAGCGATCTCTCGGTAGAATTGGGAAATTTAACGAATGCAACGAAAAATAAAGAATAGCGAAGGAGAGTAATGCTTGATCCTCTCACTCCTGTGGAGACACATGTGTCCCGGAGAACATTTAGACTGTTAGTTTTACGTTGAGGGTAATTGTTAGCCTGATACTGAAACGATAGCAAACTACAATTTTTACCAATGAATAAATTAGTCTTTTGAGCAATTACAGGAACGAAAGTGTCGAGAGAGAATTGATGACGTTCTTCGGAGTTCAGTTCAGTTAATTATTGTCACTTTCTTGAGCGGTACGATAATACGAGTAACATTCGTTAGTAGAAGCCTGAAAGTAACTACTCGACTCAAATATTCGACGAATCATCGTACGCCTATCATCGTAGGCAGCCTATCAGTGCTCAAATTACAGCAATTGGGACACATCCGCACTTCGATTCAGCTCTCGAAGGGATCTAAAACGGTAAAATGGTCAAGGTCATGGATGCGTTGCAAACGAACGAGGGTGAGCACAGGGTGGTGGTGGTGGTGGTTGCAGTTGACGAGAACGGTCGTCAGTCGCGTCTTCTAATCCCGCCGAAATTATTGTTCGCGTCGTCTGAAAAATGTCTGTCGCGATCTCGTGTTACAGGAAGCTGTAGCATTTATTTCGGTGGTCCAGCAGAGCACGTACGTGTCGATGAGGCAGGGGAAGGAAGACACGCACATACACACGCGCACGTACAGAAGACGACGAGGAGAGTCGTAGCACGTATTTATTTCTGTCACACAGGAGGAATATGATTTCGCTGTTCACTCGCGCTCCCGCGATTTACCTTGGGCGAAAAAAAGCACATTTTACTTTTAACGGTAAATGAGGGAGAAAAATAAATGTCTCTCACGTTTGTTGGAACTGTTTTGTGATTTCTGAATCTCCGAGCGCGGCTGCCGAGGCATTCGCCTTTACGAATTGCAACCCGCGACATAACTCTTCGCGGATACACAATGTTTGAAATTTGCAAAGAGAGAAAAAGCTTGAAAGACCATTAGCGCTGAGAGTTCTCCTAGGAGCCATAAAATTTCGTTAAGTGATGCTCGACAACCGGACCAAGTTAGCCTCGATGGTTCTCAACCTCGTTGAGCATCACTTGAGATATTCGAACCTATATCCTGCGTGTGTATGTTGCGGCGATAAAAATGGTCAGGGTCTTAACATGTGATATATAATACATAAGACGTGCAAAATTGGATCTTTTCGCAACGCGAAACACTGTTCGAACAATTGTTCTAATTACGACCGTTTTGCACTTCGCGACGTGCCGCGACGTGAGCAGGAGGCTCGTGTCAGGAGGATTTTTATGCTATTTTTATATTTTCGTAAACTCGCTCTTTGCAAGATCGATTAAAACGAGATCCCATACTTTGCGATCACACATGTCGACCGTCCCCCCAGCAGACGCGATGCAGTCTGTTTGGGTGCAATCGAGTGTCGTCGAGCTACGAACGAACACGTGGTATCGCGTCCTACTAGTCTCGGGGTCTCTCGAAATAAACGGTCAGATCGTTTATTTCTAATCCAAATCTACCGTAGGAATTATTGGCCAGCTCCTTGTTACCCGGAGACGGGCGAGCCAAAGCTTCATCTTCAATTTTGCACCGTTCCACCGGAGATGAGCGTCGGCTGCTCAAAGCTCAACGGCGCTCAATAAGAAGCTATTTCACAGACGATAGTAACGCGGAATGACTCACATATATAGAGGACTATTGTTTGTCGCGGTTACAATGTATTAATAGACAGAAATCTGCCCGAGCGCGAAGAGGCGCGTCGAGGCTGAATACAACAACGTGTGTCGCGAGACGACCCGATTTTTCGTCGACCGTGAAACCCGAAAGCCGATTCTGCAAATTGCGAAATTTGCCGGGGCCCTAATTATTCGAGCCGCGAGGAATTTTCGCAGGTTTCCTCTGGCATCGAGCTCGGCGAGAGCGCGCGGCGTAGTCGCGCGCGGACGCGATTGCCAAATGATTTAACTCGTCCGCAGATCTTTGTCCCTCCGCGTATTATTAGCTAACAAAAGCAAAGCGACGTGGCGCAGAAATATCCCGGTCGAAATCGGGGGCAACGGTCAGCTCCGTTTGCTGAGATTTTAATTGCCTACCAGAGTGGCCAGATTGGAGATCTGGACAGCAAGAGAGCAGGGAGAAGGAGAGACCGCGGGAGAAGCGCGGAGGCTGACCTGCCAAAATAAAGATAGTTTAAAGGCGTTCTGGCCTAAATGTGTCATCTATAAATACGCGAGAGCTCGCTCGCGCGGTCTCTCACTCGCCGGCGCGAATCGATATCGCCGTTACATCGTCGAAAATCAGGGGGCCCGTCGCCGCGACCGACCTGACAGGAAATAGATTTGTTCCGGTGCGCGCACAGAGCTTTCGGGGGTCTCTCCTCTCTCTCTCTCTCTCTCTCTCTCTGCTTCGCCGCCCTCCTCGAGTCCCTCCCGAGCTTTTTATGCGGGCCCATTTACGTTGAAACACGACGTCCCGTGACGTTGGCGATGGCCTCCGCCAATGACAAGCCCGATGCGAATTCATTCTCGTCTTCGAGACGAGACGTTAGCTCCCGCGCGACCAGCCATGAGGTCTTCGCATTCGCGAAACGCCGTCGCATCGCGTCGCGTCGTCGGGAAAAATTCCTCCGGAAAATCCGATTTCTCTCTAAAGATACTCGAGTCGGCGACGTTGCCTCGGGTGAGCTTTCTACGTGTTTCCATGTTTCTTCGCAGCTTCGGGGCACTTCCGACTCCGGTAGCACCGTTCCCCACATTTAGGAAGGAAACGCAACGCCGCGGAGTGGGACGACTTCGTCTGCGTCGCGGATAATTTCGCCCCACGCGACAGCGTGACATTTCGGGTACGAAGGGCATGGGGAACATGTAGATCGTTAATTAGGCGAGATGATTCACTCGTGTCCCGCATGGCGGAATTATCGCTTCTAAGTAACTTCGCGTTATGCCCGCGGACTTATCACGCGGGTAGTCGCCGGCTATCAATAGACAGTGCCTCGTGAATCTACGATGCCTTATGTCGCGTCGAGGCGCGCGTATTGCAGGGTTACTATATATTTTATTTATCTCCAGCTTCTGGGAGATTCATGCGAAGATTCGTCCAACTTGCCTTACTTGGATTCGTTTGCTTCTGAAAATTGCATTCCTCGGCGGGCAAACTCGAGATTTTTTTCGTAGATGATACGAAATCTGCGAGAATTGTTCAGGTACGGATTTATGGTTAGACGATAGCTGCGCTTCTTACGCAGAATGAAACGGAATTCCTCTTTCGATAAAGCGACTAAAGTAAACCATTCGTCTAAAATTTATTAGATAATATTCTAGTTGTTTTCCTCTTATATCAATTAATTTCTTTCTTATATGAAGAGGAATGTGTTGATTCGAATGTCGGCTTCTTTCGTTCAGTCTCATGCTCTACCTCCGGACGTGAAAGAAAAAAATAACCATATGCTCACGGGTTGTAGAATATTTGGAACGTTTTTTAAAAAAGGTATGTGCGTTGCTGTAACATATAATGAAGATAATTTACCTATATTTGGTCGAATACAGTTTATAATCTATTGCAAGAAGTTGAATAATATATTCTTTCTTTTAACTATGTTTCATACAATTGGTTATGATGAACATCTTTGCTGTGAAGTCTATAACAAAACTGATTGAAAGTTTATTTGTTATGAGGATCTTATTTCATTCGTGCCTACTCATTGTAGAACTGGGGCCAGAAGTATATATATATATATATATACTTCTTTATATATAACTTTTCGCTATACATTATAATAATTCTTTCAAATTAACTAATATAACTAGTAAAAATAAAATACAGTAAGAACAAATAATAATCTTCTTAAAGAAAGATTAAATGATGTATGTATAAGAGGAAATTTATATTAAAATCAATAAAATTTGCATTATACATACAACACATAACTCCTCTAACTTTCAAAATAATGTGTGTATAATATTTTCCTCTTAATCTAAACGGAATTCTCTTGAGGCCGTATATAAGAATAAAATCCTCTAAAATTTCGATGATTCCGCCTGTTCTGAAATTACTTTTTTTTAGGTGTCGACCTCGCTCGATGTGTACTCTCACTAGTGTATCCTATCCTTGTTAACATTCACAGCACCAAGTCCTGCAATATTTTTCTCTAAGTCTTATCATAGAACCGCGAAGTATATTTCGTCTTTTTTATTGTCTCTCTGTTAATAAAGACGGATCGTCGATCGTCCGCAGCATATGCGTGTGCCCGACCTTCGCCCGACGAAGCGCATGTATACAGTGCAACATGCGCGTTTAGAACATAATTTTAACCACGGATTGCAGCCTTGTGTCTCCGTCGCTGCTTGTTATTCTGTCGCAGTTAGTATTTGTGCAGACGCCGTGGAGTCTCCTTTGCGGCGCAGTGTCTCGCTCGGTGCCTTTCACGATTTCGCGCTGACGCGTTTAAAAATGTAACAGCTTCAAAAACGCGTTCTTCGTGGAATGGGATGTGGTAGGTCGCAGCTGAGAACTTCCTTCCTCCCCGAGGACCTCGGGAGCTTCGACAAGCCTATCTACATCGAAATCACGTTCGGTAGGGTGTTCTTTTTCGCAATTTGCCCGACGTGTGTCTATGTGTAGAACTAGCTTAAAAGTCGAATTAACTTGAAGTGTTAACGTAATGTGCACCGAACATCGACGGGTTTCGATTGTGTGTGCGATCACGATTGTTCGCGGTGATGAAGCAATAAAACGGCGCGATTAATTCATAGACTGTGTAGCAGCAGATCGTAGAAGAAGAATTGTTCGCTCTCTGATCGCCGGCAATTGCCGGCAAGTGATAAATGAGCGCAACTCGAGAGAGAGAGAGAGAGAAAGAGAGAGAGAGAGAGAGAGAGAGAGAGAGAGAGAGAGAGAGAGAGAGAGAGAGAGAGAGAAAGAGAGAGAGAGAGAGAGAGAGAGCATCCAGCGGCACCCTTTCAGTGTGTAAACGTGTCGTAGGTGAAGAAAATAGAGAGAAGACGAGCGTATTAATTCCTCGAGCGATTATCGTTAGAAAGTATGATGAGCGTACTTGCAAAGAGCGCGTTCAACTCTTTCGGGGACTCGCCTCCTTGAAGAGTGCTCGAATATATCAGCACAGAATTCGAATACGCGAGTCATTCTGGAATGTCCACTGTCCGACACGAAAGCTTTCTGGCGCGCTATATGATGCGCCAAAATAATTTAATTTCATAGGTGCACGACGACGGCGCCGGGCCATCCTGCAAGGTGCATTTGGCACCGGTTGCTCGGACAGGCTGAAAATAGACTGATTTAACCGACAAATGCTGTCGGAAGAATTATCCTAAAAATAGCGCACGGTTATTATTATAATTATTGTATATGAAAGCTTCTTCCCTTGTGTCGTATTGAAACGTAGAAGAGTTTACGAAACTTCTATTTTGGAACTTGAGCTGCCATTTTGAAACTGTTGAATGTCATTGGTCGATTCGATTATTGCTCAGGTTTCGCTGCTTACATTTTTGTCGTATTTAGTATTTAATTGAATTTTGATTAAATGTATGTCTGTGTGTGTGTGTGTGTGTGTGTGTGAGACTGCAATTCTCGACGTAAGAAGTGGTAAAACATATATATGATTGCATGTGTCATCAGCCGCGAGAAATCTTCTGATAAGAAGTTAGGTGTTAAAAGTTATCGAACGGTGCTCTCTTGTTTTTATCGCTTGATTCGCGCAGAACCGTCCGGGGGAGAATCGAGAATTTCGACATGAACGATTTCGGATTTAACTTGGTCGTTCAAAATTCGGGTCCCGTTAGCACGTATCGGAAATGATGCGGCCAGAACTGGAAACATAATTATTCCGGTGACAAATAGGAAATTGAACTTGACGAAAACGAACCTCAGATTATCTCCTGGCCTTGCATGTAATATCATTTCGTTGCTCCCTCTCTCTCTCTCTCTCTCTCTCTCTCTCGATAAGTTTAAATTCAGTATGCAAACGCTACTTGTTTCAGGTGGAAACGCTGCACCATATGGTACAAATTCTGCCGGACCGAAAGACGGAACGCCGATGGCGGGATTGGCAGGTTGGAATGGAGGTAGCGGCAACGGCGGGGTCGGCAGAACTATGAAGGAATACGAGGATCTATTGGGGAGCTTGCAAAAGGAGAATTTTAATCTTAAGTTGCGAATTTATTTTTTGGAAGAACAAGCTGGCATCTCTCAAACCGATCAGGATGTCGTTAAGAAGAACATAGAATTAAACGTAAGTTCACGTTTAGGTGGTTTGTACGCAAGAATATGTTATTGATTTTATATTATACATTTAATAAAGATACGTAAAATAATTTAATGAAGGAAAGATTCACGTAAAATTTGCTAACGAAATCTCTGTGTGTGATTAAATTCTGTTTTATCTATTTCATCGAGTTGATTAAATCGTCAAGAACCGATGTATCGACGGTTTTCAGGTTGAAATGGAATCCATGAAGAAGGAATTGATGGAGAAACAGGAACTTCTCAGTCAGGCGGCGAAAGCTTTCGAATTAATCGAGGAGCAGAAAGAAGCGACTGCCCGGGATCAAGCTCAACGTCAGCAATTGTTCGAAAAAGAACGGGAGAAAGTGGCCAAGCTCGAGAAGGGTTAGTGTGAAGCAACAAATTTACTTCGTATTTTCTATATGATTGCTGTAAAAGAGCTTGAAATTATTTAAAAATTGCAAGATCTATCTGTATGCAGTTGTGCTACTGCACACATTTATTTATTGTGCTCAATTACTTCTCTTGTTCCAGAATTAGCAGAGTGCCGAGAAAGAGATGTAAACGCGTCCATGTATTACAAAGAAACTTTTGGCATCACCCCGGAGCAGGCGTTAGAAAACGCAGAAAAATTGCGGCAGATGGAAGAATTGGTGGCATCTCTCGAAGCAGAGGTATGTTCGTCCAGGACATTTAATGAGACATTTAATGAGAACTAACATATTGCGCCAGAAAGATATTCATATCCAGATTTTGCATCACTTTAATACATAGAAAACTTTGATCAATCGTTACTTTCATAAACTTTCGTACCTCGTAATTTTTTCAAACCTTTTATCAATTAACGATTTTTTAATTAATGAACAAGAGACACTTCTTTCTTTTTAAGTATTACTGATATAAAATGTACATATAAATTCCAGAATTATATAAAAATATGTGCTTTCCTACAGTTAACTTTTAAACGAAAAATTCAAATTTGAAAATAATTTACATCTGTTCGAAACTTTTCGTAGACAATGCTCTCTTATCTTCTAAAAGTAGTTCTTTTGTCAGCATTATCTGTCCCAGTCTGTCTGGTAGTGGGATATTATCAGCGTCCGTTTCCTTTCCTTGCCGCAAATGAGAGCGTAGTCTTGATAATATATATATATATATATATTAGTTTAATAAGAAGCCAGTTAGAATATTACCTTCCATACGTGATAAGTGTAACTGCCGATAGACGTAGAAGAGTTCGTTGTCTCAAACTCATCGACGAAACGCGCACGACCTTCTTTTTATTGTTCCCCATGAAACGTGGATAGTAGGTTGTTTTCATTCATATATTGAATTGATTTACCGCAACGTCGAGGTTGTGTCTCGCATCGTTCCGTTGATAAATTAGCAACGTGAGAGGGTGGCGTGGGAGAAAGAGCAGATAGTAATACGACCACAATTAAACGTTTCCCCTGGTATCGCTTGGGAACCCTATTGCGAGCAGGCTTCAGTCTTTGCCAGCTCTATAATGTTTACAGGAAAAATTGTACTCGCGGCAGACAAAACAAAAGTTTGCGATATTTGCGTGTAACGCCGACTCTCACAATACGGTCCAGGTGAAGCAGATAAATAGTAGTTTGGAGGAGGAGCGCAGCTGGGCGCAAGAACTTGAAAACGAGAGGGACCAGCTCAGAGAACGACTAGATGTGGAAGTGCGACTCCGCGAGAAACAGGATACGGACCGAGTGCGAGATATCGACTTACTGCGCGAAAAGGTGAAGGAGCTGGACGACCAGCTGTTCAAGAAGGACACGGTTGTGCAGCAGTATAGAAACGACCTCGTCGAATGCGATAGACTCGTCAAGGAGAAGAGCGCGCTGCTGCTGGAGAAGTGCCAAGCGTACGAAGAACTCAACCTGATCTCCGAGAAGAGGAAACAGCAGATTGTTCAACTGAGGGCGTCCGTGAAGACTCGTGACGACGCCCTTACGGATCTCAATTACAAGCATCGCACGTTGTTGTCACAGGTGAATGAGTCTTTATCTCTGTGACAGGATCTTGAGAATAATTCAGAGATGAAAAATAATAAATTAATAATTAATTAATTTAAAGATTGGACATTGTTTAAAGATATATTAAGAATTTGTAAAAGAAGCAAGAGATATGGTTTCGGACTTTGATTCATTGCGTTATCGATCTTTTTTTTTTTTTTTTTATGATCATATCTCGCTCTAAACGCACCTGCTTATGAATCTCAACTTCGCCGATGTTAATACGCTGCATATAATAAATGCACTCTTTGAATAAGATAGGTAACATATTTAGCGCTATGAGAACAACGCGGTCTCGGGTGTCTCAGGCTTGCCTCTGTCTGAAAACTCCCATAATTTTCTTATATTTTCTCATCCGTTATAATTACCGTTTACCTTTTCTACATTGTAGTGTGAAAATAACTACGGTAAGCGCTCACCGTCCAGCAGTCCGTCGACTTTGAATTCGTTAGCGTGCCGTTTATCGCCGCCTATGGGGCAGAAACCGTCCTGTATTCGTGATATAATGGATATGGATAATACGTACATGGATTTCGAATCGTACAAAGAAAAAACGGTGAACTTATTCTCACCGTTACAAACGATCGGCGAAGATACCAAGGAAGTTAGCCAACTGACGAAGGTTAGCGATCGTCATGAGAGTCAGGCATCTCCCATTGACTCGCTCTATACGATAAAAGATGATAATCCTATTATTAAAGTGTACTAATTACAGGAACTAGAGGAAAGGGACAATGAATTGAAACGACAGGAAGAAGCGAGAAAGCAACTGATACTCAGACTGTGCAACACACAAAAGCAGGCGGAAAATACGGAGCAGAGGCTGAAGAAGATGGAGGGCGAGCACGAGAAAGCCATCAGGGCGATACAGGGCTTCATGGAGCGCGAGAAACAGGCGCGGGATGCGAACACGCGGAAGGAGCGGAGGATCCTAGAACTGGAGATGGAGTTGCGCAAGTTGCGAGACTCCGATGACACGAAGGTGAGAGCGGACGAGCACGATCTCGTTCTGTTGAAGGACCTTGGCGACAAAAACGTGGACGGCAACGAGAACAGTTCCTACAAACAGGTCAATATTGCGATTTACTTGGTTTTCGTTCGTTGGTCTCTGCGTGTGTGTGATAACGGATCGCGGAGACACTTTGCTTGGTGAGAAGCACGATGTCGGACAGCTCGGTATATTGGAGACTCTTTCTCTTTCTTTCAGAATCACTGAATTCATCTAACTTCTACTTCTTCCTTTCTACTTTATCGCCATCGTCACTGTCACTGCATGACTCTTATTGCTTGGGATTCCATATTAACCAACTCATTCCAAAGCGGGAATTGCCATCAAGTTTATTACGTAATATTTTATTCTGTATGTTATTTGATCTATCTTGCATTTCATAGCTTCTTTTTCTTTTTGGACGATATCAATTTTTAACGGTTTGTTTTTGATTAGCAGTTTTCCGTTGTTAAAAATGTTTTGTGATATATTGCCAGCGAATTTTTTCTAACTTACTGATTATTTAATTAATGTGAGAGATATTTTTTCCTCGTTTTTTTTATAGGAGAGTAAGTAGGATGTTATTACGCAAATAAATTTGCATGTGATGTTCGCAGAGAACAAAATTATAAAGATTAACCTTTTCAAAAGTGGTCTTATATCATAAATGCTTTTCTTCTTTTTTATTTTATTATATTGAATATTAGAGAGAAAAATTACATAAGTTTATCCAGTGTTTCTTCATTTAACCTGCTTTTTGATGACAAAATCATCGCCCACGTTTCCGAAAGAGTCGCGTTCGCGTCGCTCGGGGAAAGATCTCCGTGCCTTAAAATGTGGTCCGCTTGGTATCTTGGGAATACCATGCAGAAGATGCGGCCGTCGTCTATTAATAGAGGCCGTCGCTTCTTCTCGAGGCTTCTTACGGTCTATACGTTGGGGCACGCGGCAGTCCTCGTACGAAAACTCGACCGATCTGCCGCCGCCGCCGCCGCCGCGGTAGCGCCGAACGAACAATAATACACGAGCAGTACAATAACACGTACAACAAAAAAGATAGAGATTCGTCGCCGATCCTTCAGCCCTCGGTATTCGACAACGACTTGCAACGTATGCTCTGAAAATATATAACGTACGGTATAAGCTTTATTTTATAATCGATACAGCGAGAATAAATTGTTACTTGCTGCGTGACACACGCGTAAAGAATAACCAAAAGTTCTCAGTCGACGTAGAGAATCCGTGAGAATTGACGAAATTGATTATCGAGATTCAAACTTTTCTTTTCTTTCTCAAAGTTTTAGATAAGAGTAACGAAACGATATTGGAGTAATGATGTAAATTTTGTTAACTAATTGCGGTCACAGGGAGCTGTAACAATTCAGAGCTAGATAGGTAAAACCAGTGGACGCGAAGAAATAGAGTTGATGCCGACATAATCTTTGCGGAAACAGATATTCACCAGTGCTTCGTGACCGAGTTAGCACTGACGTAGAGTATCTATCCACGAATCGATCGATCGATTAATCTTCTGCTTTCATTTCTACCCCGATCCTGGTTGAGCTTAAAGTTCAAGCGCAACCAAATATGTTCTCCTGTCTGTGCACCTCAATGCGGATGGAGGTAGGTATGGTGCTGTCGAGTGCGTGTTTCTTCTCGATATCTCGATTGAGATGTTCTGTGTATTTATAATTTATACTAACACTCGTACGTTCTGTTATACAGCATGATCGCACATTTATAAACTTGATAATACCTGATTAATATATAATTATATTTGTCGAAGTGCGCTTTTGTTGGGATTATCAATTGCTACGATTTGTAGTGAAGTGTGGTGAAGTATTATTTAAAAAATCGCATGGATTTGTCGTAAAAAAGAAAATACACACGAGTATCGTCAGTCCGTATTATAAAATTTTAATATACATTTTTGTAAACTAATAGTTGAAAGTTGAATTAAGAGTCATCATTTTCTAGAATTCAAATAGCTACAGTATACATTTCCAAGATTTTAACCGTAACCCTCAGAATGGTAAATTCTTTTTATATCAAGAAGCAACAGAGGTGACAGGAAATTTGTTTTTCTTTTATAGGAGCCGATGATTGTCACACTCGTGCCGCCGCGATGTTGGTCTAAGAGAACGAAAGTTAACAAATAATTATAATAATAATCCTGTCCACATTTCTAAAAACAAATAACTTGCATGTAATCTTTTGGCAATCTATTCCTTTGTTGAACCTTCAAAATCCGTCAAAAACTCACTCCTCGCACTAAATACGTGAACTTATGAATTTCGTGCTGTAACCGATATTATATCTTTGAATAAAATGTTTTCGATGAACGTAGTAGTTTGGCTTTTATTGACAAGAACGATACTTTATGCTTGCAGCAACGTTTCGAAGAAATGGAAAGCAACATTAATGATCTACGGGGTGAAATCGAGACGATAAAAACTGAGAAGAATCTCTTGGAAAAACGAATACAGGCCGAATCTGAAGTACGTTTATAGCAAATATGTTTTATTAACGTTTTATGTAACGTAATGTGAATGTGATACAGAAATTGCACACACACACACACACACACACGCACACGCACACATACACACTTATATCCAATAATAAATAGGTTAACCTATTTGTATAAAAAATATAAAACTTTAACACAATAATCTTTAATACAATAAATATATATATTTTTTTAATTCATCACAACTATTTTTATATCTTTGTGTTTGTATTCTGTTAAAGAATACATGTGTCATAAATGTGTGCTTAAGAACTCCACTTGTATGAAAATTTCGTCTTAGTTCCATGAGAATTAAACTGATTCGTATTTCTTGTTTCAGGAACTACAAGAACGTCTTCATGATAAGGAGCAAAAGATCGAAATACTGGAGACAGAGAAGCAAACCGTTGCGAAAGAATTGACAGACAAAATCATCGAGCTGGATAAACTTAGGCATGCCGAGACGAACACTAGTATCATTGACGACGGTTTTCCGCGAAAGAAAGAGTTACTTGAGCAACTGAAAGTACAAAACACCGAGATCGAGGAGAAGAACCGGAAGATCGAGCAACTGACGAAGGACCTGCAGGTGAAGACTCAGAACCTGCAGAAGCTAGTTAACACGGAACTCTGGAGCAAAAACAAGGAGATCGCCAAGTTGCACAATCACATGACGGCGTCGTACAGCCCCGACAGATGCCGCAACAAGCCCGAAACCGTCCAGGAAACCGGTAGTTCGCAACTGACGAGTCTGATTCGCGAGTTGTCCGAGATCGGCATCAGAGCTACTTTTGTGAACGAGACTGCCTGTCTGAATTACATCAACGAAGACGGAACGGTCGACATGAAAACGTTAAGCGAGTACGTTCGTAGGCTGACGAGCCAGAAGAACGATCTCGAGAAGGAAGTAGACTACTTGAAGTGGCTGAAACTAGTGTCGAAGCCCGACATCGGTATTGAGATTGACGGCTGTAGCGACGACAGCGAATGGGCGAAGAAATATTGTGAGCTGTTGCGCACACATCTGAAGGATCTGATGAAATTCATGAAGGAGATGTTAAAGAACGCCGAACGCGCGGACACCGCCGGCACGGAGCACAAGAAGATGGTATTGGACGTTTTGTTCAACTCGAAGATGCTGTCGGACGATTTCGTGCGCGCTCTCGACGATGTTTCCGTACAGGACGGCGTGGACGTGATCATCGCGAACGACAGGCTCGAAAGTTCCGGGAAGAAGACTCGACCCGAGGACATCGCAGAGACGGTGAAGAATCAGGCCTCGCAGTCGGATTCCGAGGCGTTCTCCGAACCTGATCGAACGGTCTCCATGGCCAGAATCGGCTTGCAAGAGACGCAACACAAGATCCCCAGCCGGTTCAGATTTTCCAAGTATATCGCGAAGACACACAGCGACTCCGAAGACTCCACGGATTATGTGCCTTATTACAAGACCTACCAGAACGATCTGAACGATCTGGACATGAATCACCAGATACAGGAATTGAAGGAAACGAACAATATGTTGTATTCGGAACTTAGCGCCCTGAGGAACGATCTGGTTACGAAAGTCTCCTTTGATTGTGTAAGTGAATCTGTATATTTTTAGATAATTCAACAGATGTTCAGACGTAGAATTCAAACGTAGAATATATCTTGAAATCCTTTTAGAATAGAGATTAAAATTTTGATATTTTAATCCGAGTACTTTAACTGGCGAACTAGGCGAGATAACGAAAACGAATTGATCTTTCTCTGCAGACGATCGACGAAAAGTTAACTCCTTTCATTATGAAATTGGAGAAATCGCAAAGGTTCTGCGAGAAGTTGCAAGTTTCCCTGGAGAAGAGGATACACGAGTTCCACACCTTGAAGAAACAGAACAGCATTCGCAAGACGCAATTAGAGAAGAAGATCAACGACATGGAGCAGATGGCGAGCGAAATGACCAAACAACAGTCCGAATTGCTGCAATTCAGGGAGAACAACGACAAAAAAACTACGGATACTCTGTTGATCCTTAACAAGGAAAACGAATCTGTATGATCGCTTCTTTTATATGCTAAAAGTAAAAGTTCGCGGAAACGTTCGAGAAAGTAAAACTTTTTCGACTTCTTTCAGCTACGAGCAAGGATCAAACAGCTGGAGGAGGAAGCTGAAACTGCCAAGGCAACCATATCCACCCTTAGGAGAGAACTGGAACACCTCACCCTTTCGCACAGTGAAATATTCGTGGAGAATAGCAAGTTGACGAATGACAAATTGAGGCTCGAGCAAGAAATTAGAAAGATGGAGAGTCGGTATGACGTAACCGTCCGCTCGCTGCACGACAAGTTCAGCAAAGAGGTAAGCGAGACCCAGCGTGGAAATCCTTAGTGCTGCTTTCTCATGCTTGCGTGCTTATACGTAATGCGTTCATTGTGCAGATATCCGATCTGAATCAGATCAACGATTCGCATAGAGCAAGAGTGCAGGAACTCGAGACCGCGAACAAAGAGTTCAGAAGGCACATGGCGGTGTGCGAGGCTAGCGATTCGGCGCCGAGCTCTAGCGGGGTGTCGTCGATACCCACGGACACCACTCTCAAGCAAACTTGCGATGACATTTTGCAAGAATATCAACCTTATAACGTTAGTTTGCATCGCAAGTTTCTAATGTTGAACGTAGCTGTCTAATAGCGCATTTGCGAGGTCCAAACTAAAGCTTCTTAAAGTACTTTTATGTTGAAGATGAGACGTTTGCATGATGTGTAATTATTTGTGAAAGTTTTATATAAAATATGATTGGTTTAGCATAGTTGATTTTTATATTGTCGGCCAATCGGTCATTATTGATAAAAAATTATCACGATTACACAAATTGTGAATTTACACGTGACACGTGATATATAATATTACGTAATTCCAATAAAACTATTAGATGATCGCATGATAAATTGATATCTTACACTTTTTCATTTATAATTGAAACCGTTCAGCATCGATAATTTCGATAATTAGATGCAAAACATAATCTTCTTACTTTATAGAACTCGCAGTATTGGCAACTGACGAATTATTCTACAATGGGAGCGCGCAGCAAGTCCAGTTGTTCGCCGGATCTAGGAATAGAAAGTGACGCTGCCGTCACTACCGTGAGACCCTTGAAAGATACATTAAAAATCACAGAATCGATGACCAATCTGTTAAGCGATGAAGAGAATGGGAATGGCAATCACAGAACTCGAGACGCAAATAGCCAAAGTCCATTACCGATAGAAGGTGTGCGTTCTAAAATGACATTCGTCTTTCAACGGTTATTTTGTCATATTCACGTTCTTCTGTTGTCCGTTCCGTGTTATGTTTCTTGTGATAATTTTCAGGTTTGCTCCAAAATAACAAATCATTGTTTTCTTCGATAGGTCTTGACGAGGTGGAGGCATTGAAGCAAGAAAACGAATCGTTAAAGCGACGACTGATGAAAACAAGGAGAGCATTGGAGGACACGTTTGAGCACTTATCCGCCTCGAACAAGAATAAGAAGAACGTCGAGAAGGCGATAATAAAGCAGCTAATGATCACGAAAAATGTCTTAAAGAAGACGAGGACATTCGAAGAACCTTTGAACGATTAACAGAGATCACAGACTGACGCATGAAGAACGAAGAAGAGGAAAGCAGCATAACATTGTTATTCGTGTGATTAAACGTTCTCGAGGATTTATTGTTCAATTGCACGAATTTATCGTGTTTTGTCTGTTTCTTATTTGTCCTTTTCTCGTATTTACAAGATGAGAGAAACAAACGGTACATATCGGCACAAAGAATTACGATATATACCGATAGGCATTGTAACGTGTATCACAAAATTTTTTAATAACGAGAAAATTTCTAAACGAGAAATATTTTCATACGGATCAAACGCTATTTTCGCTAAAGATAGAAGAAGACGAAACAGAGGAGAATTTATGACGACACTGTACATTGAATTTGTATATATTTATATAATAGAATACGCACATGTATGACATTTTCGTAGACGTTCTTTTTCCGCGAAGGTTCTTCCAAGTGTTGATTACGGCGTCGTCGAATCGCGTCGCTTACGATCAGCACTCGTTCGTTGACGTATTTTGCTTTATGATTAACAGAAATTCGTGCGTGTGTGTACATAAGTATTTTATGTATCATAATGTAGTATCTTTCTCTCTGTACATAGCCACCACATGAATAAAGTGCCATTGATATTTAGAACTTATGCGTATCCCCCGATAAGCGAAGGAAATGATTCGACCGAGATTATGACGATGCGAAATCATTTCACGTCACTTATGCGAACGATGGGACGCTTTCGACGATTTCATGTATCAATTGCATGTATATAAGTTGCATTTACTTGCAATTTTATTTGATTCGATATCGAGATGTATCTTTTTCTTTTGTTGACACATTGTTTTCTTCTTTTATAGATTTATTCCGTTAACGAGTAACGTCTTGTTTTTCATGCGCTTGTTAATTTATCCACAAGCAAATAAATGCAAATTTTACGTTACACGAGTGAAATGTACGTTTGTATCGTGCGATAAGAATTACTCGCAGTGTCGATTCTGTATGCGCGGGTAATGCGTCGTAATTGTAAAGCGGCTTCCGCGCGCCGCCGGCATTGGGACTCGCGCAGAAATAAAAGAGCACAACGGCGTAAGATTATGATAGAATTTTTATTATCACTCCATGACTAGATAATAATATAAAGATCCGTAATAACTCATAGTGTGATGTGAAGTGTACGAACTGCGCCGGACACGCGAATTCCTACGGCCGCGCGCGCACACCCGGCGAGGGGAGCGGAGAAGTACGATTCTTATACTGTACAACATTAATCTCTCTTACTGGTCTAGTATACCTTTCCCATTCGCGTTTCCTTTCTACGCCTTCGCGACAGTCGCACCCGCTGATAGAACGAACGCTTAGAGGAGAATGAGGGGAAATATCGGGAGGGACGATAGAGAGAGAGAGAGAGAGAGAGAGAGAGAGAGAGAGAGAGAGAGAGAGAGAGGGGCTTGAGAGCAGCGAGATACCGAAGGATTTTATATACAATTCTACAGTGACGGGTTCTCACGTCTCTGCCGCTGCTTCCGCTCGTGTTGTTGCACGCAAGCATGCCGCTTAACAATGAATATGAGACACGTGGGTCGGTTACGGCGTAATTGTAAGTTGAAATGTAGGTGGAAATTGGAGTGACATTCGCGATAGAAACGACATGACTGAGAGAGTCGAAAGAATTATGACGACCGAATAAACCTGAAATTGAAGTAACGCGTGTGTCTACGAAACGTAACATTTGTATATTTCATTTCTTATGCACGATATAAAAAGTATATATATATATATATATATATATATATATATATGATGTAAGACGAAATATGTACATTCTTTCATGCTATATGTGTGTATGAGTGCTTGTGTGCATTCTGTGAACGTCAATGAGCATGCTTCGGCATGTCTCGACGGCTGATTGAAGGACAAGAAAGCAATTGTTAAGATCCAGACGTGCCTCATATGTTACTGCAACGCGCTTTACGCTCTAGCGATTTTGTCGTCGACACTCGGAGTCGGCCAATTTCTCGATTTAATGTCTTCTCATTTGTTTTGATTGTTAACATGTCTTGCGACTTACGAGACGGGAACAGCCTCCCGATTTCTTCTCTCTGTATACACAATGGCGGGTCGCTTATGAATTATCGTTAATCGACGGCTTTACGTTGACCTCGTGAATCGATCAGCAGCGAGGTGCGGTTCGAAGTTAATGTAATTTTGATCGTTGACCGCGCGGAACGGATCGACGCGCGAAGCGGTAGCAACGTGTCGTAAAATTGAACTCGCGGTCAGCGAGTTCGGAAGCAGCGATCGATCTCACTCCGATGATGAGGTTCGTGAGATGAAGATGACTGAGCGTGTCCCGCGTTCTTTCCGTTCATATCGTACAATCGCCGCGAGTGTTCGACGTGACGAGCGTCGCGACTTTCGCGCGAACTCCGCGACTAGCGAAGAAAAGTCCCCGAGGCGATTTCGCTCGATTTTGAATATTATTTCCGTAAAGTGTAGCGCTTGTCGGTCTCGCCGAGCCGAATCTCCGAAAGGAAAGAAAGCAAGACTGCCCCGCGTGAAATCGACGCCTCACACGTGCACGGTCACTGCGAGTTAACCCAAAACGACTTCGATTTTTCGCGCTTGAAGAAGAATCAACTCAAAATCGGCGACGTTTCCTAATCGGATCGATCTTCCCTATGAGTCTATCTCGTACTATTTACAATACATATCTCAAGGTTCTAGAGAGAGCGTCACACGCAAGCAAGGTAGATCGCGCCAACGCACGCCCGATTTTCAGGCTCCAAGTATCCGACTTTCGCCAACAACCGACCGGACAATCCGATAAGATGAAAATCTTGCTAAGAATTCAGATTACATACGCACACGCATACACTCACACACGCACGTACGCACGCACGCACGCACGCACGCACACACACGCGCGGTGTTCTATCTCGACGTCCTCGAGAATCTGAATAGACAGAAAGGAGATATTACGTACAAGGCCTCTATACACAATGAAAGGACGAGGGAAATTCGACTCGATCGACGATTCGAATTTCCTCGCGTGTTCCGCTCCTCCCGCGAGTAATAGACACGCTGAAACTGACGCTGGACCTGTGCCAATTATCGTCCTTGACGTCCTTAGCGAGAACTTGTTTCGTGGAAATCGGGCTCAAGCTGCGGTATGTATCATACGGGGGAATCGTCTTCGTCGTGACGATGCGAGGCGGAACTTGTCCGACGAACTTTGCGACTTTAAAATCACCCGTTAATCGAAAACCGTAGGTCTCTCTCCCCTCTGCCTTCTATATCTTGTGAATAAATCTTACCGCAGAAGGAAACATCGAAAGATGCATTTGCGATTGAATACGCGTCCAAGGAGACACAATCCTGAGTCTTCCCTCCCGTAAATCGGCGTAAATTCACGAAGAGCGAACATGCTTCCAAATGCTTCCGGGTCAGAAAATGTTTGCCTTTCTCGCGCGAGTTCACGCGTGAGAAATCAATATTTATAATCGACTGTTCAGAACAGAGTCTCGGGACGCTCTCTCAGGACATCCTTGTAACACTCACAAGGACGCTTTCGTGAAAACTGTGCAAAACCGCGCGAGTCAAAGCAACATTGATCTACAGTTGGTAGTCCGCTCCGAGTTCCGCTCGCAATCCTGTCAGGACGAATCGCGATATCCGCGTATCGAACAGTCCGGGGCACGTTTAACACTACCTTCTATTTTATTATTCGACAATTAAACTCCGTAATACCGAGAGAAACGAGGAACTTGTACATAAATATATTTAGATTAGCCGTAGTATCGAATGCGAATCGTACGTGTGTCATTAAGTGTGACGTAACGCGGCGTCGAGACGGGCGGCCGCGTGGATGACGAGAGATCGAGAGGGACGGTGTAAAATACCGGTATAGAATAACTTCGTACATTACAGGCACACACACACACACACACACACGCACACACACACACACACACACACACACACACACACAAGCCGTATGAGACGTCGATGTCGGACGCGATTCGTCGCCGACGTCGAAGACGCCGGGCGCCGTCTTCACCGAGAGCGATCTCCCGTACCCTTCTCGCGACGTGTCGTCTCGCGTGCTCTTCGAAATAGCGGAATGCTGAAGTAACGTATAAGTCATCGTTTGCGGCGTTGCGCGGCGTTTGAACGAAAGACGCGGGGAGATATCAAGATCTTCTTCTCAATCGAAATTAAATAAACGACGGTCGCTCGAATTAAGAAAAAGATACCGACCGACGCGTCCCGTGTCGCGCGCTTCCGAGAGAAGCGTCGCCGTAATATCATTTCATAATATCATTAATCGATGCATAATTATCGATGCCTGCGTCGCTGGTGCGCCACGCGACGCGCGTGGACGACAGGCAAGGTCGCGCGAGACCGACGCGTCGGGAGAAAAGGACGGGGATTCCTCTCCCGAGGAACGGATCCTCTCGCACGGGGACAACCCGCGGACATCGCGAGACACGGCCCAGGGTCGTCCAAGGTGACCACCCCCCAGCCCCCGCCCCCTCCCCAGTGCTCAGCGGAAAGTGGAGCGGTTACTAGCGCGTCGCGCTTTTCTCTTCGGAGGAAGAAGACGACGACGGCGATGACGACGGCGACGACGACGACGAGCCAGGTCGCCGGCGTCAGGTGCACGCTCCGCGCCGGTAGCACGTTATTCTATACGGTATTTGGCGGCGCGCGGTTTTGGCGGGTTATGTGGCGTAATGGGAGTGGGAGTGCGAATGGTGGTGAGCGTGCGGGGGTGGCGGCTCGCCGAGCCAGGAGTCCGGCGACGGCGGGAAGTCGGGGTAACCGCCGCCACCGCCGCTACCACCGCCGCCGCCGCCGCCTCCGCCGCCGCCGCCACCGCCGCCGCCGCCGCCGCCGCCGCCGCTGGACTCGTTGCTGAGATCCGACGCTGGTCCTGGCACCATGCCGCCCGGCCCTCCTGGAAGCATACGGCTCGCGTCAGTCGTAAAGCCTGCAGCCACGAGCTCGCCGAATTTCACCCCTTGCGCTCGCGGGTTCGTTCGCGCGGAGCCGGCGCGCGGTGTTGCGATGCAGGAAATTGACGTTCACAAAGGTCTGCAGCATGGAATTTTCCAGCGATTGGGACGATTTTTTTCTTTTGTTTGTTTGAATGAAGGTGAGAAGATTACCTGCAATTCTTTACCGAGCGATATTTTCGGTATCAGGAATCCTAACGAAATCCTTAATAGACGAAGTACGAAATGTTGATACATTTTCAGAAGATGATTTTTCTCGACTTCTGTCAACGCGCAAACCTAGGTTATAATATTGCCGAACTATGGTATAAATCCGAAGAAATCAATAGCTTATACATTAAATCTTCATTCGTTGCTACTGCTCGGGAAATTTTCCGCGTATTGAACTGTCTGAATCTTCGAATTTCCTTGTTTCTTGCTTCCGCAGCTTGCTCCGCAGGTTCGGAGTTTACGAGTTGAGTAGTCAAAGATTTACAATCCATGGATTCATAGTTTGGCGATTGTAATGGTTTGCGCGTTGACAGAGGTCGAAAAAATCATTTTCTGAAAATGTATCAATATTTCATACTTTGTCTATTAAAGATTTCGTTAGGATTCCTGATATCGTAAATATCGCTCGGTCAAATTGTAGGTAGAATCGTCTCACCTTCATTTAAACAAAAAAAGCCTAATCCTAATCGCTTGAAAATCGAATGCTGCGGATCTTTCTGAACATCAATTTCCTGTATCGCAACACTGTGCGCCGCGGCCGTCGGAGCCGAATGAACGTTGATTCTTTCAAATATCCGTTTCCGGAGATCTGAGTCTGTAATCCGTGTAGTTGTAAATTTGATAGAGATGTGCGAATCAAGAATTTTTATGTCGAATCGAATCGAATCGAATCTCATTTTTTTTAATTCGAATTCGAATCGAATCGAATCTATGAAATTTCATTCGAATTCGAATCGAATCGAATCATTAAAAAATTTAACATGACTATTAAACATGTACATAATGATGGAAGGTTTTAATATGAAAGGGGATATTGATATTGTAATATCATTTTAAAGTAAAATATATATTTAAATATTTAAAGTAATTTATAATTAAGTTATTAATTATAAGTTAAGTTAATTACAAGTTAAGGGTTCAAACAATACAGGCCCAGATGTCTCGTTTTGTACTTGATGCATGCAAATATAATGCACGCTAATATATTTGATTCGTAATTGAATCTTCGATTCGAAATTTTCGAATTATTCGGATTCGAATCATAGGGATTCAGATTCGAATCGAATCGAATTACATTAGGTTCGATTCGATTCGATTCGAATTCGAATAGTTCGCACATCTCTAAAATTTGAGAATCACTGCTTGACCAAATTGTGCAAAATAACAGATCGCGGTTCTCTCTCTCTCTCTCTCTCTCTCTCTCTTTTGCGTAAGTGACTCTCAAATTTGCAACTTCACGGTTTACCCGTGTCACTAGAAAAAGAACCGTCGAAACCGTCTTGCTTCCCAGTGTACAGGCCTGTCGAGACCTAATATTGTTCGTGTTTCATATTTTCTTTAGGAAGTGGTTTGATTATGAATTATATCGACGAAGCTTCGGCTCTCTTCGAAACCTCGAAGCTTTGCGTTTTCGAGGTTTAAGGATGTTACGCAGTAGTAACAACGAAATTTCCGAGTGTGAACGTCGGTAGGAAGAGCCGGTCGCGTCAGTCTCCTCCGAACGCGCCTTGGGATTGCGATAATCCGCTTACCGAGGGTGGTGTACACCGAGAGGCCGGCGTCGGGCGGGTACGGGAACTGAGGTGGTAAGGACGGCGATCTGGACGTTGACAGGTACGGAGGTGTCGTCGCACCCAGATAACCGCGGGGCGGCCCACCCCCGGCTCCGTTACCACCACCGCCTGGACTCGCGCCTTCGCCGTCCAGGCCCATGTTTACCACCGTGCCGTAGCTGTCGTTGCTCAAGTCTGCGGACAGAATTCTCGATTGAAAAAAAAAGAAGAAGAAGAAGAAGAAGAAGAAGAAGATGGGAAAGAGAATAGAACGATTGGAGAAAGAAAGATCGATCGAATTCGAGCGTGACGGCAAACGTCAGGGCTTTTCGATCGGAGGAGAGACGGAACTTCTGGTTCTCTCGAGATCCAAAATTCTCGGTTCTTCGGAGAGAACCGGAAATTCCGCTTCCTCCGACCGAGCCGCCTCGTTTCGTCTCGTCTTCACTCAGCGATCCTTCTTCCCCGTACAGCAGCGCGTCGGATAAGTCAATGAACGCGCTGTGTTGTTGATGAATGAAGGGAAATATTTTTTCGACAGACGGATGGCCCAAAGGATGCTAGCAGCTCCGCGCGCGCGCGCGCGCGCGGGCGGGGAACTGTCTGTTCGCGATGAGCGATCGTCTCGACATTATAACTCGATAGTCGAAAGCCGAGACACGGCCGGCGATCGCATCCATTGTGTGTCTGGGGCTTCCAGTAGCAGATGCCTGCTACCCCGAGGGGAAGACGATCTCCTCAAATATTCAGGAGATCGCGGAGGCTAACTGCCGGCTCACCGTGTCCGAGATTTCAGGAAGATTGCGGCCCGTCCTTGAATTTATGCCCGCTATTACCTGTACTTCCTCGGGAACGAGTACCGCGTTTAATATACCGCTCGTCTCGATCGCTTTAAAGGCGGCCGGGCGATAATGAGGGAATAATTTTGACGTGCTCGGGGAATGCTGAGCGAACGATGAGTTTCCAGCGAATTCAATCGCTCGAACTTCAGAGTTCGACGACGTACACGAGTTACAGTCGAGCTTTGATCGATCTCGAGAACTCTCGGCGATTCTACGCGCATTTTCTCGCCCGGCTAACGCTGTCCTCTGTGTTTTAGACCGGGTAGGATGGCAGTGCGACTCACCGTGATGACCAAAGGTGGAGTCCAAGTCTACCTTCAACTCGTCTTTGTCGAGAAGCTTGTCGTGCCTGGGCGAGTGACCGCCAGCACCGGTGCCCTTCATACTGCGAAAGTATTGCGACCACCTTGTCCGACCAGCGTCTTTCTTCAGCCTCTTCTCTTTCGCCCTCCTGCAGGTAAGAAATTGTAATGATTATAATTTGCGGTAATTTGCGATTTGGAATTGTCGCTACGAGCGCCTGAAGCTTCCGAGTTTGCGCAACATTATTGTCCATCGGGAAAATCTGCGCAAGTCCGCAAAGTCAAAAAGATTAAAACGTGGATTACTCGGTATCAGGGGCGTACGAGAAAGTTTGTCTCTTCGAGTCGTCTTGTCGATTCGATCGAATTCGATCGATACGACTCCCGATAAACTGTTGCTGAACTTCTAACCGATTACCGATAATAACGACAATGTCTCGCGATTTGGCCAGAGACAGATTCATACAATAAATAGCACGACTCATTGCGCAACTTTCGAGGCTTCTGCATCTTTCTGCAGCAGAGAGAGAGAGAGAGAGAGAGAGAGAGAGAGAGAGAGAGAGAGAGAGAGAGAGAGAGAGAGCGTTTAAAGATAGAGGATCGCATTATAGAAATATCTCAGAATCAATAACTCGAAATTTCTCATGTGAAAGTTGCCTTTTATCGCCGCTCTAATATCGCCGACGCCGATAAAGCGGCGGCAAAGAATAAATTCTCCGAGTGCGACAAACAACTTTTGCTCATTGTACTATGTACCGCGCGCGGGTATCAGGTATTTTATGATAAATAAAGCGCCCTCGTATCTCTAGCATCCCGTATAAATTTCTAGTCTCTATTATATCTCGCGTCACATCCGCGCGCTTTCTAGGAAGAAAAAAAAACGAAAAATGTATCTTATCTCTCGCGACGGCGGACGACGTACATTAATCTCGCATTACGTCGAGTATCGGCCAGCGAATTCGCTGGAAAACTGCGAATCGCACGTGCGCGAATTTTACGTACTTTTACGTGTTGCGTGGTGTGCGCATCTATCTCCAAAGTCATTGATAGAAACCTTATTTACTTATCCTTCGCGTTATTTTCACGGACGCTTTCTAGCGGACCATTCCCACCTGCGATAAGCGACCGCGACACCACTTTTGCCGATAAAACATTTTTCTCCAAACAGCGAAACGGTTACTTTGTGCTACGGTATCACGTAGTGCCACTCGAGCGATAAGAGGGAAAAATGCACGCGCGTATACGGCTAGAAAGTGCAACGCCTGCGAGCATCGCGATGATCGTGACGTAATGTAGAACAAGTCTCGTCGCACTTTGCAGACACTCACTCGTCTTCTCGATTTATTCGATTCGAGCCTCGAGCTCGAAGCGAGCGAGACGATTCACCTTTACGAAATTAACGCGAACGCGCCCATTTGTAATAATCAATCACGTTATTTCGTACTTTTCGACGTTGGGAGAAACGATATATTTCCTCGGATTCCAGGCACGAATATATATATATATATATATATCTCTCGATTGCCTCCATTATAAATGGCTTCAGAGAAACCATAGCAGAAGCCATGCGGATGCAGAATCCTGACGATGAATCGGAGCCTCCCTCTTAATTTGATGACTTCGTCAGGATCCTAAATTAATTTTTCTCCCGGAATCTCCGCGCGGATTTCTTTCTTGTCGTCTTTCAGCTTGGCCGTTTGTTGGAACGTGATTAAATTCGGCGTTTATATCGATATTCTACCGTGGGATCGGGAATCGGGAGGAGTCCTGATGTCGCGTACGCGTGTTTCAGTGTACCGCGTGTCGCACGCAGGATAAGAAAGAAAACGAAACCTGGAATCCAAGGAACCTTACAAGTGCCGCCCGACTTTTCTTACCTATTTTGAAACCAGACTTGAACGACGCGCATATCGAGGCCGGTGTCCTGAGACAGCTGTTCTCGCACGTGCCTCGCCGGTTTCGGACTGGTGTTGTATGCCAGCTTGAGAGTCTCGAGCTGCTTCGCCGTGATCGTCGTTCGCGGCCTCTTGTTGGGCTGATCACCGTCTATGCTTCCCCCGTCCGCTAATTCTGAGAAATTCCAGTGACGACCGTTAGATTTTTCACGTCAGTTTTTTGTTCAGCCGTGTGTGACACGCGCTTAATTCGGTCAGCTGCGCTAGAAGTCTACTCGGATATACTCATCTATATACAGGGATACAACGCGCCTCGCGTTCACCCTGGCGTTCACCGCCAGGCGAAAAATCGCAAGATTATCCGGGACAATTTTTCCAGCGCGTTCTAATCGTCGAGAGAAAAAAAAGGATCTCTCATCGCCGTTCACGTGTAACGGCGCATATCCGGAAGATAAAAATGCACGAGTCAACGGCGAAAATTATTTACTCGAGATTAAACCGCGAGACAAGGTGGCAGAGGGTAGAGAAAAGTCATAGGTTAATGAAATTACGTCACGGTAGCGGAAAAATGAAATTTGCGCGAGAAAGAGGACTGCCGTCTGCCTTCGTGAGAATGGTATCCGCCGGCAGCAGGTAAGGTCAAAGGATAACGGCGCTTATCTCACCTTTCGCCTTCGCCTGCTCGTAATCGGGCTTGCAGACGAGCTTCCTATCTTCCATGAGATAAAACTCGTCGCCGGTGTCCAGTTGGCGAGAGCAAAGGGCGCACGAGAAGCACGTCAGGTGGTAAACCAACTCCTGCGCCCTTCTTACCACCTGCGAAGGCGACAGTCCTTGGCTGCAGCCCGCGCATTTCGTCCCGAAACGCCTGTCACACCAACAACATACAACATTTTCACATTACATTCACACATTAATGACAAACGCTATACGCTGTCGTGTGTACGTGAATATTTCGTGTGGAGACGCGAGATGACGCAATCTGCGCCGATCGGCGATCGGCGAGATTCGCGAGAAATGTCAGATACAATTCGTTCTTTGACGTCAGATTCGTCAGCGTCGATTTCTTCGAATCTTGCTGATGCTCGAGACAAAAGAGCGCGGCTCGGCAAGAGAGCGCGAGGAGTATGACTGAAAAGAAGACGATTTAGCTTCGAGGGGAAGAAAAATGGCGACTTGTCTTACGGACAAATGAGGAAGGAGCACGCTACCCTTCCCCCCTCCCCCCCCCCCGACACGGCGGAATCGATACCGGAATGGTCGATACACGTGCTGCGAGAAATAACATTTCTTACACCTTCCGTCACCTTACTCATACGTACTTCGCCTGTTGTCGATAAATTGATAAGTCGAACAAATAACGTCGGACGAAGTCGCGTCGGCGAGATTTATTTAATTTCCTTCTTTGATAAATTCCCGTCGAGGCTGAGCCATTTTCTTCAAGATACGATTGGCGGTGTATGAAAAATAAATTTCAACAAGTATATGGCAGGCCATGATGAATGTTTCGGATGAGACACTCGTAAATGATCGAGATTTTGCGCACGGACGAAGATAGCTGCCGCGTAAATACATAGGTAGGTAGGTAGGTATATATTTTTCGATTACGGAGGAATAATGGAAACGGTCTCTCGGAACAGAAGTGTCTGTCGGAGATCTATCTGGAACGATTAATCAATAGGTGTATCAGTTGGAAATATCGCACGAGCTTCAAAGTCATTAATCTTACGGGAATACGAACAGTGAGCGCAATGTGATCTATATCGGTGTCCGTTTGAGAAGTATTCAGAGTCGTGTTAGCAATTATTGGTGCTTACTTGAAGAAGTCCTCCCTGCAGAACACATGGCCGTTCCTCGCGAAACACTTGTCGGTCAGCCTGGCACCGCAATCCCGACACGTGAGGCATCTTGCGTGCCAACACCTCTCGAGCACCCTTAAAACGTACTTGTCCAAAATCACTTCCTGGCATCCCCCGCACTTTGGTATCGAGGCTGCAACATAACGATATTGGAGCAATGAGCGAGAGTCAAAGCGCGCGGCGACACGAAGTGACACGAGGTAACAGCAATACCGGCGCTGTGAAGACTGCGCGAGATGTTGTCATCTCAAAATAAATAAGCACAATATATACATATATACATATATATATATATATATATATATTTGCAGTGTTTAAGATAACGTTTTATTATATAGCATTACAGCGGAGTAATTAATCTCGCTATCATCGCCTGCCTGTTACGTTAACATCTCTCTGTGTTACGTCACACCTCCGGATAAGACAATAGCGCACGTGCGCCGCCGTTCGTCTTTGCGATTGTTCATCCCGCGATAATTGCGACGTGAGAGAAGAAGCGTTTTCGCGTATCCTCCGGGGTGGAAAATCGGAGCGAAGACTCGCGGAAACAAAGAAGCGAGCGTCGAGCGATCCCGACAGCGTTCCGACGCTGTCTCGTCTATCGCGGCTGTTGGACACTTACAGTAGAGGATCTCCGGGATGTGCGGAGGCAGGCCGAGCTCAATGGCGGGCTGATCTAACGGGTGCATGTCTGCGTGGGATATCGCGGAACCGACACTGTCAATACGATCCGCGCTGCTACCTTCTTGGCGAACGTTCCGCGACTCCGGACTGCTCTGCGGCGTCAGGACGTCGTGCCTTCGCGATTGGTACATCCCTTCCAGAGGAAGAGCCTCGCACCCCAACATCTCCAGGCTTATCATAGTCATAGCTGCCACTTTTGCGCGCGCGACGCCGCGCTCTCTGCTATTATCTAGGCGTTGTGCTCGCGACGTGCTCTCGAGAACCGGAGAAGCATTCCGAGTCACGAGACTACCGGGAGAGAGATATCGCGACCTCGTCTACTGGCGATCGTGATCCTTTTCACCGAGACGAAAACAAGTATCTTCAGCGCACGCTATCTTCATGAAGGTTACATACATGAGCACTGATAGTGAAGGATGACGCCGTTTTGCGAATAATCCGAGCTCGTCTCAGAGGTAATTTGAAGAATTGCGACCTCAGGTTTTCCGCGGACTTGCAGTATGTATGTAGTTTTATGCGGGACTCTCAATTTTTCAACAAGCGAGCATGTTGTACGAGGAATGGAAATGGCTTCTTCAACATTTCAGTTTTGAATTAGGATCTCGTTGAAGCTCTCCCAGCAAGTGTATATTTCACTTCCCGGTTAGGTTCTTAGGACTTTCCCGGGAAAGTCGTCACCTTCGCACCTGCTTGGACTATATCGCTCGCTTCTCGATCAGCGCTCGAAGAAATCACGGATTGCACAAAATTCACTCGCCGCAAGCTCTTTCAGATATATATATATATATATATATATATATACGACGCTGCGATATCTAATGCTGCAACTTTCTTTAGATTGTAGACGACATGAGTAACGTCGATACTACGGTTATTTGTTGCAAAGTTTTCACAATCCCGATAAACAAGTCAACTGTTCGTTAACTTTATCTTATCGCGCTGATACTTCGTTTGAACATTGGCGCCTCTGGAAGGTCAGTATCGTCGACTTCAGCGTAACCACCACCGTTGTAGAATTCCGCTGATCAGTCCTTCGACGTTTACACTCTCCACGGTTCCCGGACCGTGTCTCCTCCCTTCAACCCTTTCACCGGACCCCAGTTATGTTACATCAAAAGTAGCAGCACTAACAGATCTTGCTTTAGACCAACGACTATAATCGGCTCGCTCATCTTCTGCCTCAATTAGCAAAAAAGCAACAGTCCAACTTCAGCGTCTTTACGTCAGAGTGAAAGCTCACGGTCTCTTCTCCTATTCTAAGATCAATGCTTCGAGAGCGCACCTTTATCAACGACCTCCTTCAACGACAATCATCAGACAACACGTTTCCAATCACCGATAATGAAGCTCAACGATTCAGCTCAATTTCAGGGTTAATCGACGGATCATCATCGTCAGCCGCTCGCCGTCTAGACACGACTCATCGTCGATTTCCTGCGGAAAGACGCAGGAAATCGCGCACACACACGAGACCACCAAAAACGCTCGACAGGGTGAGCACAGTGCGAGAGTACGCGCACGACTGCCTCTCATCAGCGGCTCGTGTTGCTCGTGCGCACGTGACACACACACGTGGGTGTGGCGGCTGCTTGGTGGGGCACGTGTCTGGATTATTGGGTGCAGACAGCACCCACGCCAACGTTCCGTTGGGTGCCGATTGGCGAGGAGCTCGACCGCCTCCAATATGGCGCGCGCCACCAAACGACTCCGGCGCACTGGGGTGCTCCGCTACCCCTCCAGCCTCCAGGGCGGGGGTGATGAGCGCGGAGGGATGAGAGGGCGAAGGAGCGGGTCCGGCGAGAAGCGGCGGCGACGACGCAAGCCCCGTTGGTCGCGCTGATGGTGGATGGTATTAATCCTTTCAGACAGAAAGTCAGAGGTGCCTCCGGTAAGACGCCGGCGAAGGTAAGCCGATCTTTTTCTGTGCGCGCGTATAGCGGTTCTCTCCCCGGCTCATGTTGCCGAGGCTTACGTACGAGGCGTGATCGTCGACGCGAGAACCTCCGCCTTCTTCGCCAATGAGAGTTTCAGCTTGATGGCGCAAACGATCGCCGCTTTCCCGCAGGCAGATCCCGCGTCAATTTTCCCGCAACCGCGGCAAGCGAGACGCGATCGAGCGCTGGAGATGGACGATAAAGCGAGAGCTGATCCTGGATCCGCACTGCGTTTACGTATTCCTGCAAATCAAGTGCAACAACGAAGTGCGCGAAGCGGAATCCAGCTGGGCAGACGATGGATCCTCCCGGTTTCCGGTCTCAACGTCTCGTCTCTCTCTTGGAGAGACAAACTCAGCCCCACCCTCGCTGTAATCTCACGTTCGTATTAAAGATACGTAGCCGGCGAGCTGTGCACGCCTTCATCGCGGATCAACAAAATCTTCTCCAGAAAGTAACGAGAGAGTTTGGCGGGCGGGCTCGGGGCGGGGGAGGGGGAGGAAAAGAATGAGGGAGACCTTATTTCGTCGGGTATTGAAAATCCCGGCGAAATAAGAGCGTTGTCTGCGCTTAATAACGCGACACACCGCGGAGCTTATCGGTGCGTCGCGGCGGTCGCATTCATTGGAATCGTCGCGCAAAAGAATTCGAGAATCATCCCCCGGGAGTTCCTTTGAGCACGGGCTACTGCTTCCCTTCGATTCGGTAAGCAACGAGGAGCTGCTGCCGTAAGTAAAGATAGCGGAGGCCCTTGGTAGGAGGAGAAGATGAAGAAGAGAAAAAAGGAGGCGGTGGCGAGAGAGACGGAGACACGGAGAGGGAGAGAGAAACAGACAGAGAGAGAGAGAGAGAGAGAGAGAGAGCGAGAGAGCGAGAGCGAGCGAGGACAAAAGGAACCGAGCGAAATTAAGAACGGTCACGGGGATGAGGGACGCCATTTTATAATCTTGCTCGAGATCATTCGCGTATATTTCTTCTCCGTTCACCCCCTCTCAGTTTTGTTTCTTCCTTTTTATTCTTCCCTCCCCGTCCTGTACTCGCGCACATTCGACCGTATACGCGGATCGATTGTACGCTTATGCGTGTTTGCACATCGCCGATGCGGAGCCGAACGCCGCCGGTGGAACGGCTCTCGCTCGGCTTCGCTTCGTCGCCAGCCGGTTGTCTCTTTCCTTCATGGCTGATTCGCGCGTACTCGATTGATCCCCTTAATATCCGCGCGTATCGGGCGCGGGCGGACGCGCGCGTGTACGATCTCTATCGTACACCGAGACGCGCCGATCGATGCGCGCGTTTCCCTTTCGAGCGCGTCGCGACGCTCGTTAAATTTTCCACCTGACCACGGGCTAACAGATGGCACGGGCCACTTTTTATGCGCGCGCGCAGGCTTGATGCTCATAAAATCTGTCATGCATACGCGCCGGCGGTATTACCAGCGAAAGGGTGCGCCGCGCCGCGCCGCCGAAAGTAAGCCGCGCGATAAATGAACGTCGGAGCTGCCCGATTTCTACATCAACCGCCACGCCGCGTGAATGCATGAAATGTGCATCGCGCGGGGTGTGTTAAATAATTCAACCGCGGAGGAAGCGCGCTCGAAAGCCCCGCTTCTCCGTGCTCTCGCGCGCTCCTCGCACGGCGGATTTTGAGCCGGTTTCCGGTTAGCGCCCGGCAATTTCGAAGTGAAAATCGACCGGCATTTTGTGAGGAATTACACACTGTAAACTGAAGTGTGTTGCAACAACACGCTTGAAGCGTGTTGAAGTACGTCTCCGCTTTAGATATACAAAATCAGCAAATTAAATTAACACATATATGTATGCTGAAAGAACACATCTGCGTATGTGTTTTAAGATACTCATCGTTTGTATGTGTGTTAATGCTTAGGTGTATTAAAATTGAAAAGGTGTATAAAAACACACTTTCAGTGTGACGAAGGTGAATCGAGCAACATTGCAGATCCAAGTGTGTTACTTTGAAATGCAACAAGCGTGCAACAAATGAATGAATCTTTTTTACGCATTTCATCCATTTTAAGTCACTCGCGTTATTTAACATATTACGTTTAAACATATAATAATGAATAACATATAATTAATCATTTGGTCTGTAATAATATGAAAGCAAGTTATTATTACATCAATTTGTTCAACGGATACGATACTTTTCTTTGAAGGCGAGTAATCGCCGATTTTGTCGACTTGTGTTTTTCTCACATGTATTTTTTTTTTAATACACATATGTGTGTTCATTTAAACAGGTGTTAAGGAAATTAGTGTGTTATCATGACACACATTACTGGTGTGCGTTACGTGACTTGGTGTGTTATCCAATATATCATCCAAGTGCGTTCTCGGTGTATTTCGATTATCATTCTGTGTCTAAATAACACGCTCTACGTGTGTCACGGGATTGTTGAGGAAAAGTAACACGTTTTTGCAGTGTGTTACACGGTGTGTTACAGACAAGTGTGTTATTAAAACACACTTTTGTCACACAGAAAACGAATTATTTCGAC